TGCCCTGTGCGGAAGCCGCGCTTATATCCATGTTTCCTATTTCCCCAGAGATTTCCCAGAGAGTTTATTAAAATGCAACTTTACTGATTGAATAATGGCAAGTGTTTTCTTGCAAAGTCCCTAGCAGGTGCACTTTTTCAGCTGCGGACTGTTTCCCCAGTGCAATGGATCACAGGCGAAATTGAGAGAAGTAGCTTACAATTTTTTTTGAACTCTTCTTGACGCCCCACACTACCCCTCGACCTGTTGTAGGAATGTCCATCGTATCAGGGAGGAAGATTCGTCATCTTGACTGTAGGACACTGGTTTCGGCGATTTTACATGTTTACAATCACCCACACGGAACAAAATTCTCGTGGCCATTCCCACGTCCTAAGGGTGTCCTAAAGCCACTGCGTTTCATCTCAGTGACCACGTGCACAATCATTCGGAGCAGTTTTCCATCTCAACCCATTTCTCTTTTAGTTCCGCTTCAACTGCAATGAAGGATGCAATGGGAACTGTCGACAACTAGACCTATACTCTTCAGCCATGGGGCTTACTGCGGCCTGGGCCACTCCATACCACAAGTAATCAATCCCTGTGGAGTGATTCTTCATTAATGAAGTACACCTGGTAAGACAACCACCCATTTACACCCTATATCGCTTTGCACTAACTAGTAACAAAAAAAGAACGAAAAAAGGCTAACAGTGAAGGAATTCGTAGAAAAAACTGTAGAACCCGTTGTGAGAGAGCCGTAGGTTGCAAACCCCTTTTCCTTGCCCTTGCACAGGCTCTATACCCCTTTTCGTTTATACCTGGTTTGGAAGGGCTGCTTTGAATACAATTCCTGATGCTGGTCTCACCAAAGTTCGTTTATACCACTTTTTTGTTGAGCAAATATTGGAATGAATCGGGTTTATCTAGTGATTCATGTGATTAGGCAATGGTGCTTATCTTTTTTACAACCACAATGACTCGAAGATTCGAAGCCCTACACTGTAATAGCGATAGTGAAATTGTTTGAGAAAAACTGTAATATCTGGCCTATGCATCAGTAATCAGTTTGGGCCCAAAGGGCCATTTTTCGTAAGTTGGCTGTGGTTCAGCGTGAAACCTCGTCACACTCCAGCGCAGCACGTGAGTCCGCTCTGCACCGACCTTGTTCCGTTGTGGCTTTCGTTGCACAGTTGTGAGCCTCGTGCTGATTCACAGCCATTGATTTCTCCTCGACTGCCACACCTTCACGACCGTACTCGCTTCGCATGTCGACCTGCTGCCCTACGGATGTGTGCGGGGAGCACAACTCGGCTTTCGAGTCGGAAGATCAGCCCTGGTCTGTCACTTACACTCCTGTTAATGAGAAACCTATCACATTCCGGATCTACCGTGGTGAACCGGTCGAATTCGAGGTCACCTATAAGGACAAAGATGAGCTGTACGAGGCGGTGAAGCAAAAACTGATTGAGATTGGTGCTCCCGATGGAAAACTCTACGCCATCTACTATCCAATTGACTATTCGCTGATTGAAAACGCTGACGATCTAGTCTATGCTATTCAGCCAGAAAAGCCACTGAAGCTTTTCACTACTGCAGCCGAAGGCGATGTCACGTCGACAGGCAGCAGCTCCGATTCCTCTCCTGAAGATGGCGGATCAACTGGAAGACGTCATCGGCGACACCGAAGACGTTCCAGCAGACATCACCGACCCAAGCATTGTCCCACGTACTACTCAAGTTTCCCATGTATGTCCCAGTTTTCTCCCAATCAGCACTACGGTTGTAGAGGCGGTTTTTGCCACTATGGGCCTCCTCCTTGCCATATGAGCCAATGGGGCCATTGCTATTGCTGAAAATTCTCGATGAATTGTGTTATTATCACCTTAACCCCACCGGTATTTGATATCCGAGCACTTCAGTGTTGCATTGTCCCACCATTATGTTCATTGTGATGTTTGTTTACCTTTTTATTACTTGTTATCATTGGTATGCGTTTTTTGTAAGATAAACACTCGAAAATAGCCATTTCATTGAAATGAATCACACACGAAGCATTTTCAAAAGGGTAACCATAGCAAAAAATAGAAAACGTAAAACTTGCAACAAAGTGTTTCTCCACGGTCAGTACTCCAAATCAACGGAACTTTTTTTATTTCGTTATCCTCCGCTTTTTTCGCCTTCCTTCCTATTATGTCCTCTACTCTAGACGTTGAGAACATGGAAAATTGCAAAGTTGTTTATCGTAGCGAAACTTGCCATTGTTTTCTCATAAACATCTCGTTTCAATCACTTCGTGAGGCTACGATGCGGTGGACTTGTTCTCTCACCACCCTCTGCCATAGTGAGCCTGAAAAGCCAACGTGAACACTCGATGTAAGCTCTTTTTTATCTTATTTGGGTTGCTTGACGGGCTCCCGAGTATCACCTGTCGTCCCGTTTATCATCGATTTCCTCGAGCGGGCGCCACTGATGTCTCCATCGTCCCTTTCGCGAGCCAATATAGTCAAGGACATTCCTCGCTCGAGTAACGCGAGGCATAGCATTCCTCTCGTTGACGTTAACGAAAAAGGTGGCCGTCCTGGCACTCGTTAGACGTGCCGTGGGATCCACTCAGTAGCCGTCCTGGACCAGTGGTCTTCACGATATCCCATAAAGTGTTCGACCCACCTAATCTTTGATTCCTTGGCGGAAGCAACGGCATCCCTGCTCCTCGATCGTTAACGGAGCTCGGATTCCGGATTTCGTTTTGCACTTGAGTGTCTCGGATAATTGTGAACGTCGTCCATCAGATAGCACGTTGAATGACGCTGACTGCATGTTCATCCTGCTTTCGTAGAGCCCAAACCTCAGAGGCGTACGTCGAAGCGGTGTCCAAAAGAAGAGCACAGAGCCTGATGTTATTTGTTTTCTTCGCTGCTGCCCCAGTAATCCTAGATGCTCCCCACGCCACGCATCTTCTTCTGCTCATCGTTTATCGTTGGAATCAAGTAATTATCAAGTTGACTTCTAAACCTAGAAACGTGAAACTAGATCATTCAGAGCATCCATTCCGTTCACCGTCAAAGAGACACAGTCTTGTTTGTTTTCCTTGACCTGGGCACTTTGCATTCCGACATGTGATGCATGAAACCTAACCAGTGCTCTGGCGATAACTGATGGANNCCCAAGCCTCAGAGGCGTACGTTGAAGCGGTGTACAAAAGATGAGCACAGAGCCTGATGTTCTTTGTCTTCTTCGCTAATGCCCCGGTATTCCTAAATGCTCCCCACGCCACGCATCTTCTTCTGCTCTTCGTTTATCGTTGGAATCGTTTATCAAGTTGACTTCTAAACCTAGATACGCGAAACTAGAGCATTCAGAGCATCCATTCCGTTCACCGTTAAAGAAACACAGTCTTGTTTGTTTTCCTTGACGTGGGCACTTTGCATTCCGACATGTAATGCATGAAACCTAACCAGTGCTCTGGCGATAACTGATGGAAGGCTTTTTAGGTACTCCTGTTCGACACGGCTTTCAAAAGGATCCCGGAGGATCCTGGCTTTGAAAGCACCGACGATGACCTTGGAGAATAGCAGCCCTACTTGAGAAACCTTTCCATGCCCATATGAAAATTCCAACTCTTCCTCTTTGTAGCTCGATATACATAGGTGCATGGGTAAGGAAGTTCGTCAGAGCTGAGGTCGAGCTACAAACCCTCAATCAGAATCGACCGATTCGAATGGTCAAACTTTAGTAAGGATCGATGTTCCTGGCCAAGTGCATACTGACGAGGACTCTGCACCGCCTACGCCTATTCTGCTCTCTGCTCTGCTGTCGCGTATTCCGAAGGCATTTCTTCTCTAGTCTTGGATAGTCGGTCCTGGATCGTTCCCGACTATGGACGTGTGGAGGTGGCAACACCTGGCATTATCGACACGGGTTAGAGAAGGGTTAGATTGTGATTTCGTAACTGAGCTCTAGTTTCAAGAACGATGTTTCGAAGAAGTTTTTTCTCTGGTGGCCATCGTTTTGTCGCTGGTCATAGTTGATGTAAGCTTGCTGGGGAGCTTCTTTCATTTTGCGGCAAAGGCGGAACTCGCGCATGATCCGGGGTTCGAATCTCAAATACTCGACACTCGTCCAGGCCAATCAAACCTTTCATACATCTCAGTTTTGTTATTCGATACCACACTCGTCTGGAAGGGAAAAGCACTCCTTTGTATCTCGCCTGGGTACCGCAATCATGGACCACATACGCCACCCAATATGGGAGACAGGACCCCCAATGTTTGTCGTCTTCCAAATGTTTAGGTGTTCGTACCAACCGGGACTCCTCAACATGCTCTAGAAAAAAAGGACGGATTTTTTCGGTGCAGAGCCAATCATTCGTTCTCTTCGAAGGATTATTAGGAGTTTTCTCGCACACATGCACCGCCGGCTGCACTTTTGAGTCGACGGGGTGGGTGACTCACCCACACCATCGATTCCCACCGTCCCCGCCCCATACAACCAAGTCGTTGCCCAGGACCTCGTCGGATACTAGCAGCATGTCCGGACGCGTATCAGATACTGACGACACCAACCAGAAGAAGTACGTGACGTTCAAGGTGCACCACGAGGATCCGTTCCGATTCACGATCGCCTATACTGACGAGAGCCCTGACGAGCTTTACGAACAATTCGTGCAGAAAATCGCTTCTATCGGTCGTCCTGTCGGTAAACTCTACTATGTGGATCGCGGTACGGACCATATGCTGATCTCGAATGCTCGCGACCTCAAAAATGCCATGGAAGGCTGTGAACTGATGAATATCCATGCCACTGCAGCCGACACGGACGTCGTCACTTCAAGAAGTCCGTTTTGTTCAGGAGGCGATGAAGCGGTCAGAAGACGTCATCGTGGTCCGAGACGGCATTGTCGACACCCATCACCCAATCCCAGAATGTGCTACCAGTCCCACGGTCACCATGGCCCCCATGTAACTCACGGGTGCCCAGCTTTTGCAGCAGAGCCCTTTCCATGGGGCCCTTGCTCTTTTTATGCTCCTCACTTTGGGCAATTCGGTTGTACTGATTGTTGCTGTCATCAAGGGGTTCCCTATTCCTGCTGTTGCTCATTTTGAGGGTTTGTTTTACTCCTTTTCTAGAATTTTTTCATTCAGTCAGTTCATGAATTATCAAAATGTCCGGTGACTATATAGTGTATTTAAGGAATTTGCTTCTTTTTGTTTTCCCACTGGCAGACACATCGCATGATTTGTTTCAATTGAACCTAAATGTATTTTTAAATGTTTCAACCTGTATTTGTCGTTGGAAATGTTTCTTTTACTCATTCATCACGCAAAAATGGAGGTTTTTATGAGTTTTGTACTTGAATGCTTTACTGACGGACTATACTTTGGTACTGTCCTTCTTCATCGATAAAAATCGTTTGGAAGATGGTTTTGATGGTGGACTTTGCTCAGTGAAATGGAAATTTTGAACTGTTGATAGCATTTTTGTTTATGGTGTTGTCATTGTCACTTGTGCCTAGTGCGAAGGTTCTATTCAGTGTGTTTTTTCATCATTCTGATAAAGGTCTTATTTATTGAACTGATAAATTCTGTACTGTTGTTGAATCCACATTGCTTTACATAACAGTAAGATAAACAGATAGAACTGTCTGCCTGCATGACTCATATCACCACAGAAGTGCGTTTGTCATTTCATCGCAGAAAAAAATTACAAAAAAGGCGTAAAATCTACGAGCATTGGTGCGATTGCGGACATCACCCTTTCGAATTCAAATTGACGGAATTGAAATTTTGTCGTTCAAGCATATTAGCGGTTTCATTGTTTTGACTTCAAGAATTTGCGTTTTTTCGCGTTTATTATTTTCACTTGATAAGTGTTCTGATGAGCAATATGAATTCCTGCTTGAACATTTCTTTGCGAGCTGTTTTTCATCACACTAGGTCATCGGTAGACGTATAATACACAATATAATCTGACAAAACTTCTAAACTTCCAGAAACTCAAACTTAAATAGCTCTTCGAATATGATGATGATAAGAATTTAATGTGTCCAGAGCTGAAACTTACCTATTTCTTCGATGTTCAAGCTTTTCTACACGAATTTCCAACAGAGAACCTTTCCAAAGCATTATGTTTAAGTAGTGAATTGACGTATCTCCTTCCACATTTCGTGTAAGCGAGAGACAATCGCCAAATTTTCCTTCGATATCAATTTGATGAACTGTTTCCCTGTAACACTCATAATTTCATGGACATTTGATTCGAGATGAGTACAGAACTCACTAGTGCTGTTTAGCCGGCTGCCGCTAAAGAAACTGAAGGCATGAAATCCATCACGGAGTGATTTGCATCGGCTCTTTCCAATTTACTTTTGATTTCCTATGGAAAGATTGCGTACAACCCGCTCATATGTGTGAAGAATAATCAGGTGAGTAGTTGCCTTTGAAAGATTTTTTTTTCGGTTTTTTTTTTCGTGTTGATCTTGAAAGAGTGTATCGTGGTTATTTCTGGAACGTTTTGTGGTTATCTGTTCTGCTGATGATCCGGAGATATAAAATGTAAACCGTTTGGGTGTCAAATTTTCTGATAATGAGGACGTCTTGGTAGCATGCGATTTGATACTCCAAATGGGTGCCAATTCATTTCAAGTTGTTGAACCCCCTTAACATCGCAGTGCTTGAGTAGGAAAAGAATGGTAGCACTGATTTGGCTCTACTTCACAATGGCATGGTTGAACAGCACTGATTCCTCGCCCAGGCCCTCTTATATAAGCGCAGGCTCTCTTTTATTTAATAGCGGGTTAGTGTGTAGACATCCAGCCCTACTTGTCAGGGCTGCTGCCGTACTTGGAATGCTATTCAACTCAACATATTCACTGTGAATTCTTGGGGGGTGGCCTGTGGAAATTAGGTGGGTTTCTCTTCTTACTTATTGAAATCAATAATTGATACTTATTTTATTTCGAAAGAATTATGGTAGACTAAAATGCTGAAGGCGAATCAATGCGATATTCTGTCGTTACCCGCACACTTTTATATCTCGTAGTCTGACCTAACACCAACTGTTTCCATCCAATATGGCTTGAAATGGTGTAAAGAAAGTGATAACGTGAAAGTCGATTAAGTTATGTTGATTTACCAGTTGGGCTACGCACGCTAATGCGTACACCACATGCCCACTACAGCTTACCTACGACTTGTAACAACAACAGATGGATTGAACTTTCATCTCTTTATAATAAAGGAACTTTAAGCAAACCTTAACACTGCGCTTGCCACTTCCCTCTTTCTTAGGAACAGACGATACTTTTCGGATCGCGAAATTCTATAGATGAGTAAAAGGGCATGCAAATGATATTCAAAACGTGCCGATGTCTGTGCCTTTTCGATCTGTCGCTGTTCATCTCAAAAATGTCATAAAATAGGCATTCAAGTCCTTGAATGGCACTCACAAATGTTGTCGGGTCATAATAATACTATTATCAAATGTCTTTATGCATGTAGCTCCTTTTCTGTAAAAATACATCATTAAATGAGAATCCAAGATTATTAGCGGTTGGATAAGTTTTGCCATGAATGATATCAGAGCAGAGAGAAACCGTGATCCTTCATCGAATCGCATACTTCGCTGGGTAGCGGTCGTAAGCAAGAAGTGAATCAAATTTCATAATCGGTCCCTATCAGTGCACTTACCCTCCTTGTTGAATGAAACATATCAACGAATCAAAGCTAAATCGTAAATAACAAAGGCGCTAGGATTTAATTGGTGATTGGATCTTGTTCTCGAAGACCTCCTCTATCGTCAGTGCCCCCATCCTGTCTCCTCTACTCCTACTGATTTCGCTCTCCAAGTCAACGGGATCAGGAATTATGGATTTTCGCTCGGACATTTATTTCGCGCACACCCCTCCTACCATAAGTGTTCCCATACTGCCGTCTAAACTCCAGCCAAGTTTGAAGGCCTTAGTCCAAACTAATAATTTTGGCGCAAATCCCGCCTCTGTAGACACGATCCTGTCCTGCCTCCCACCATATGTGCTCCCATCCTGCCGCCTATGCTCATACCAAATTTGAACATTCTAGGTCCACGGGAACAGGAGTTATGAATTTCCGTGCAAACAAACAAACAAACAAACAGACAGACAGACGCGAGCGCTTTATATATAGTAAGGATTACGCACGTGTAATAATACAAATGAATACATTTGTATGTGAATAAAAAGTCGGCCAACCTGTGAACGCAGGCGTTTCCCCTGCTCTGAGGTCCGATTTAACGCGGCCCATCATGAGCGACTTCGACTGTTCCTGAATGCGCTACAGGAAGACAAAATTGTTCAGTACGGTAGAGATGGAGCTGTTGCTCCACATGGCTGAGCCCCTAATAGCTTTTACTATCCTGTGGCAGCTGCGATGCTCTGTCAGGGAGGGCGATCGGCTGGAAAGTCTAATAGTTGGGAGAACTGACTGAGGTTGTGCTAACTCAGACTTAGGTGAGTGTGAAATCTGACAATCAAATCGACTCCATCATAATTTTTTGTGAAAAGGTAATTACGACGTATGCTAGTAGATGGCTGCCGGAACTGTCAGTTCAGAATTATTTATGAGGTTCACTGATTCATCTCATCCACTACGGGTCTATTTAGACGAAGTATTAGGCAATATTAGCAGTGAGAGCCTGAGCACATGCTGGCAACCAATAATCCTGCGTTTGTAGCCATATGATATTCCCCTTAGTACTGATTGTAATCGTATCGTGATGAGATTTGTAAGGATTGGCCAGCGACCAATGCGCATAAGTTTTACCTATGGTGCTTGGTTGGATGAAATTACTTCGCTGGAATTAACGTTTTGAAAAAAAAATGTGCTGGCACTTCACCTTTTATTCGGCATCTAGAACACCCTAGCAACTTGAACAATAGAAATGAGCATTCCTTGGTTCTTTCTGATCACGAGATAGGTATTTGTGAAGCTCGTTCTCTCTCATTATTTGACTACTATCTATAATCTGGGAGAAAAGTCTTAAGCGGCTTGATATTTTTTTATCCAATTTTTTATTTGGTAGAAAGTGGGATTTATCCATCATCATCATTGGCCACTACAGTAATCACCTAATAGGCAGACTGATGATCTCTGTGGCCTGATGATCTTCCAGGAGACTGAATGTCGAAAAAGGGTTTACCGAGCTCTCATTGGTGTCTCTTCTGTGGTGATTTTTTGTTAGGAGTGCTTCATGAGGTCAAAAAAAGAAAAAAAGGAAGAAGGTGATACTTAGAGGGGTAATGCCTGTGGAATAGGGTGAACGGGGGAGTGGATGTTACCAGTCTCTTCCCCGGAGCCGTTCACAAGCCGCACAAAAGCAAAGGATTCCTTTCGAGAAAATACTCAGCACCGTCTTGGAACCACCAAGGACCTAACTCTCATCTCGAGCAATCAGTTTTTCCAGAAACCTCTTTGCTGCGCACGGAAATTCCCCCTTGCTGTGCACGGTAATTTACACACTGACATAAGGATATCACCTACACTCGGGGTATCGTCCGAACTTCTGAACCTTGCCTTCTTCAACGTTCTAATGGTGGAAGCCGAGTGTAAGTACCAATTCCCACGTGGTATGCGGCTGCTTCGCCCCCTTCGCATAGTTTAGGTCAATGTTTACGTCTTGGAACTGACCCCATCATCCCAGACCAGTCAGCGAACATTCGCCGTTCTTGAATGGGCGAACTACGTCGTACACGTGATGTACGAGGTGTACGAGGGTTGCCTTTTATATTTTGAGATTTGGCAACATAAGTGTAGCAATCTAACAACTGACACCACTATCGTAAAGTTTGACTATTTTGAGGTTACGTTGCAAAATTTGAGCTCGATTTGTGTTGTTTACACTAAGTTATAAGATTTTGTTCCGGTCAAGTTATGGAGTTGAACCATGGGCATTTTCGCGCGACAAATTTCGACGTGGACTAACTCAACAGCAATGCATGGATGAATTTAATTCAATATTTGGTGATGAAGCTCCATCCAGGGCCAGTGTTTATCGATGGTACAGTGAGTTCACCTGAGGTCGTAGTTCACTCGAAGACGAATGTCGTGGAGGTCGTCCAAAATCAGTTGTTGTTCCGGAAACCGTTGATACTGTGCACAAACTAATATTGCAAGACCGTCATGTGACCTATTGTGAGATTGGGACAACCTTAAGCATTAGTGGGACCAGCATACATCCAATATTGCGTGGACATTTAACTGTAAAAAAATTGTCTTTGAAAAATTCGTCAATCCCCCAAAAAAAGGACTTGTGTCGATTTGCCGAAAGAAATGCTCAAAAAATACGGTCACAGTGCTTCAAAACACAAACCTGACATCGAGACAGGTAGTGGATCATGGTTTTATGCGTATGAGCCGGAAAGGAAACAGCAGTCGACCGTGTGGGTAATTCAAGATGAGTCAAATCCAACAAAGGCTTTCCGCGCACCAGGCACTTCCGAGCAATTGATCTCCTGTTTCTTTGGAAAAACTGGTCATGTCGCAACCGTACCACTAGGACAAGCAGAACAGTCAATTCTGAGTGGAATACCACCATTTGTTTGCCAGTTGACTTCCCAAAAATCAGGAAAACCAACTGCTGAAAACGGATCGCTCTTCACCACGACAATGCGAGCTCCCACACATCGGCTCAAACAGCTGCATTTTCGAGCACTCAAAACAACGATTTGACAGGTCATCAGCCATGTAGTCCCCGGGTGACTTCTTTTCATTCCGTACGTAAAAAATAAAATGAGAGGTCAACGTTTTTCGACACTTGAAGAAGCCGGTTTAGAGGCATGAACACATGTTTTGGAGTTACCTCCATCAGAGTGGCAAAACTGCTTCGAAAATTGATTCGAGCCCATTCAAAAGTGTATAGATCTTAATGTGGAGAATTTTGAAAGGCTGTAAAGCGATTTTCAAAAAATGGTATTTGTTTCTGTTTTCAAATCTCAAAATATAAAAGGCAACCTACGTACCTTCGCATATGCTTGTACGAGGCTGGTGTGAGCTTGAGCTTTCGATTCAATGTTGTAACAAAGAAGCAGTGCTTGAAAAAGTCTAGTTGTGCTCTTCTCTTCATATCATTACACCTACCATTTAAAGTGACCTCAAAAATAATTCCTCTATACCCACTCTAATCATTGAAAGTGGTTTCTTCAAAAACCTGGAATCTATGCTGAAGGTGGTGTGGGTGAACACAGCCACAGCTTTGAACATCGGGAAGGGGACAAACTCTAGCAACCCTTCTAGCTGGCTTGAATGTCAACTTTCTCTTGCAAGCCGTTCTATAGGTTCGCATTCTAGTGCCTCTGCAATTCTGGGTAGAATTTGCTCTCTGCATTTGCTCAATGCCCTTCATTTTTGGTACAATCGGTACCAGTTCGAACAAGGCTCGTTGAGGAGTCGTTAACACCACTAGAAAAGAAACCGGAACATCACAGACTTGCTGATTCAGTACGAGAATTTGTGGAATGTTAGGCGTAGGCCTTTATCATTCCCAACTCATGCGTAATTTCTGGAACACTCACGATACGCACGATTTCCATTCAAGAAGTTTATTCAGAAACCAGTCCGAAACAATATTGTCGTCAACACGAAGAAAACATGCGTCAAAATAATACCACGATACATGCAATACAATATAACTCGTCATGATGATTACGGTAGTCGAAGTACGGTGGAGGTGAGAATACGCAATTCAACACGTCCCGTACGTCGTAGTTCGACAATATAATATTATGAAAGACGTTTTATCAATTGGAATTACATAATAATACTATATTACTACATAGTATAAAAGTGAATGGTTACCAGTGGGACGTCCGAGGACAAATTCAACCGAGTACTTATCCTATAGAAGGGAAATTGATATTTCATAATGAAGACCATAAAGCGCTAGCATGACTTTGGATTCTTTTGAGAGAGAAGATTCATGAAGGGTAAAGAAGATGACGATCTTGAAGACGATCAGCATGTCATCAGCATGTCTCATCAAATCATGACGCTTTGTGCTTTGGCTGGAGCCAGCTGCTGCTCATAGCGATGATCGAAACCCGCTGAACCGGCCCAGCACCTGGAAAGGAACGTTGGCATAGTTGACCGAAGAACAATTCAAAACCTGATAGGTACCTGAAGTGGTAGAGGTGTCGCGACGTCTTTCGGGACGGTGTAGCGTCCAGATCGGTGAAAACGATTCTCAATCGACAGAGATTCCGACGATCCAACACCCAGTTACACTGTACACCGTAATCGATCACTCTGAAATCATTGTGATTTCCTAGTGGAATACACAATAGCATAGCTAACTACTTACCTAGCCAGATGTGGCGCTTGTTGTTCCGTAGTGCGAACGGTGAGGTTTTGAATAAGAGGCCAATAGACCTGCAAAGAGTGGATTCTAGCTTTATAGGCCTGAGCTTCTCCGAGTTCCTCTCCATCAAAACGAAATCAAGAAGTTGAGATCAAACCTCTCCGGGATTCACAAAATCGCAGTCCATGTGCATGTCTTCATCGAATACATCCATTGCCTTCATATAGCATTGGAAGGCATACCATCGATTCAAATCGAGAGCTGATAGAGAGACGACCAGCTGAAGAAGGTAATAAAATAAACATTAGAGGACATGGATTTTCCTAGACCTATTCACCCGAGTAGGAATTCTACTCCCAAAAGGATTTAGGTGATTCGGAAAGTTTATTATTTCAAAGCAGCCTAATATTTTAGGCGAAAATGAATAGAAACTTTCCCCGCTGCACCTTATGCGCTGATGACTCATGGAGTCGGAGAGATCATACGAAAAGGCACTAACCAATTCAGCAATTGGCGCATCGATGATGGCCTCGAGTATAGTCTTTCGATAGATGCTCATTGCCGCCACCACTGTAGACACATCTCGTGCTGTCCATCTGAATCAGGTGCATAATCAGACAGCGTAGTTTCAAACCAGGATTCATAGCTGGAAACGAATGTGTTAGGATAGCCTACCTGGAGTCAACCACGATTTCCGCCGTATTACGGCGCATCTTCAGAGACACTTGAGCGTGTCGATGGCGTGTCCAATCTCCACCGGTTGCCGTGTCGATATCGCGTTTCTCGACACTGATATGGGTGATCTGAAAGAAACCTATTAGAGCACGTCAGTTAATCTTTGGATCTTATTTGGTCATATGTGGCCAACTGTCGAATTGAAGCAAGAGAGGATAAGATGTATCCAAAGATTTAGAGTTAGTGACCGGTGGTCAGAGCTCATTGGCATGGCCACAAAACACGAAATTGTGAAGTGGGCAAAGGGGCCCATATCACCAAAGAGGGTTGGAAAGAACTTGAGCTTAGCAGTCAAACATTCTCTGGTCACCTCACCGTTGTCACTTGGTACTGAGTGTTTGGATTTTGATAACGGATATTTTTTCAAAATTCGCACCTTTTTAATTTTGTTATCGACGTGATTCTTCACCGCTTTGTTGATAGCTCTCAGTCGGATTTGCTCGATGATATCACACTGGTCGACAATGCGTAGAAGTAGATCATCCGACAGGCGGGGTTTGTCTTCTACATGTCCTGCCAGCTTTTCGCCACTGCGTCCCAGTCCCTTACACGACGATGCTTTGCGCATTGTGTTTGTGGTGACCTTAAAAAAGTGGTGCAAGAAAATCTCGTGGGTAAAGGAACTTTAGTCGAAAAAAGTACCGAAATTGATGTGGGGCCTACCTTCTCTGCGTTCTCATGGTTTCTACGATGTTTGAACGACAGGCGGCGGATTAGCTGAAGTGGCATCATTTTCTCGTGAGTACTGCTTAGTTTTGAGAATAAGGTTTCGAACTGAAAGCAACTTTTTTTCACGAAATTACGGTACACGAGGAAAGATGGAGTAATGAATGCGAGTTTAACGAAGACGTCATGTGAACGACATGATGACTACGATCAGCAACAACGACAACACGAAGCAGTCGTCGTATGCTGCTGCGGCAGAATACACTAATGGGCGGGTCAGTGAACGCGACAACTGAACGACTAGCGACATAAAAACACTGATGTTTGCAGACGGTTTGTGTCCTCGCAAGCTTGAACTTTTCTGCAAAGACTGCACTACATACACAAACAACATGACAAAAAGGGCGCAGGAAATTAGCCAGACTGTTGACCGTTAGTTAGTTGTTCCCAAGGAGTCAGAATTGGCTAGGTATATGAGTCAGCGATTGTTTAATACGAAGAGATTGGTTGGATTCAGACGTCATGTGAATCGGCTAGCGACTGTCTCAAGCGGTTATGGAAGACCAAACGGAAACCTCCAGCACGGTCAGCTACCGAAAAAATTATAATAATTTTACCGAAAAACAGGTTGAACCATAACTCTCCTACTGACCCTGTAGCCCCTTTCCCGAACAGATAAATCTGAGCCTTAGGGGATGATTGTGTTGGTATAATATCATTGAATTTGACACTTGTTGTAAATTCAGACGGAGAAACGTAACAATGCCTTGGAATTTATCAGGAACATAACAGGCCTAAAATAGTCAGCCACGTAGCCAATACGGTCACGCCCTGTCGATTACAGCGCATTATCAACAGAATTCTCTTCAAAAGACATTGTCAAAATGTTTGACTGACAACCTTCGAAATTTATTTTGGCCTATTTCCACAGAATAGAATGAATGGCCTTCGAAAGATACTGATTGGAGTTCGAAGTAATCAAAGATTTCATAGGGCTAGTCCGGAATAGCGGGCTACGGTTGAGTGTTCCATCACGACCCAAAATTTCGAATTGCAGCCCAGTGATGCAACCCAGTGACAAGGTTGCTGAGACAAAACTAAGGACGTCAGGCAACGAAGAACAAAAAGTAATGGGAACAGCTGTGGTTACACGGAATATCCGCATAATGACGTTATGAAATACAGATAGCAGTAAAACACCACATAAAGACGGTCGTTCTACAAACACAGGACGAACACCACACATCCCGCCCCGTTGGAGTCGGAGCGCTTTCTTTGCGCCCATCGTCGCGTCGTCGTTCACCGACCGACAACAGTGGGTGTGGTTCTGGCGAATACGAACGAGAATGTGATCGCTCCGGGTAAACTGCGGACGATCGGAGACTCTAACGGTTGACGCTTATACTCTGCGTCGCTGCTTCTGGAGCGACAGTGACGATGAAGGTGATTATCATGGAAATACTCAAATAGAAAGTGGCCAACGATCTGCATGCGTCAAGATTTACCGGCTGAAGGCAGAACAACACCATGCGATTACATCATTTTACACAGTTGCTCGCGATTGTGCGTGCGATGGTTGTATTTAGATAGGTACGGCTGGGACAGTATTCAACCCGTGCCTATTTATGCCTATTTTTGGCATTAAGTCATGGTAACCCAGAAGATTGTTACGACTGCTAACTGAATGCGAATAAAAGGAATGGGTAATTGAGGCAGATAATCAAGCGACTGACAAATTGATCAGACTTGAAACTGAAGATTTTTCAAATGCTTAACACACTAGGAAAGCAGCCGGAAAGACTTTCGAAGCAAAGTTCCCCTGACCCTCTGAGTGAGGACTTGAAATTAGTTGGCTTACATGCAGGCCAAGCATTTCACCGGCAAAGGCGGTAGGAGAAGAACGGACACGGCCTTCAAGTGATACAAGCATAGAATAACAAAGAGAAAGCTTAGTAAACACGAAAAAAAATTCTCAATTTGGCGATCGGGCTTTATATAGGAAATGGTCTCGTGACCATGAGTCGTCGAAACAAGCACTCTCTTCCCCACCATTCCCCGTCTCCCCTCTCAGGTAAAGTATCAACATAAATTATCAGTATTTACTGATTATGACGATTTTAAGCCGCACTGCAAATATTAAATTGCAGTGATGTTATGCACAAGTGCATTCTGAAGGAAAGTATCAAGGTTCGGTCGCGAAGCCTAACGAATGATGGAAATAAATGTCGAATTTCAGAACCGGAATCCGGAAGGCTGAAATTATTACGTGACAAGGTTACAAATCCCGGGTACAGGTCTCGTAAAGCGGGTAGGGGCTCAGTAAAACCGTACTGGAACTGATTTCTGAGATGAACTATTCGAGGAATTGATCCTTTACGGTGACGACAATGATTTTGAAGTCGATTTCATCATGGATAGATGCTTCTAAAAAGCCGTTCCACCAAAACGAGTCCGGAGCTCATACAGACCAATAACAAAAAGCTTTTCCGGCTCTCCTTGGGAATGTCTGACCGCTTGCATATTCCTAGCTTTTCCTGTCGAATTTTTTTAGAAAAACGACGCAAATGCAAGCGAAACCACAAGTAGTGGCGTGGCTTTTGGAACTGTTTCGGATTCTACCGCTACAAAGGATATCCTATCGGGTTGTGATAAAATATTGGTTAAACAGGTAGCGCTTAACTGATTACCCGATCCAAAATATCTGAGAGTTCACCTCAGGGAGCCCAGTAACACCCTCGAACCACTCAGTGAAGAGTGTTTAGCAAATGAAAATGTTTGATGTATCATGGGTCTCCGTTTGGTGGATCATGGGTCACCACCGGAAGTCAACCACCACAAATTCCTTTGCCAACACACTTCAACGTCAGGCGTAAATGAAAAATACATTAATCATGAAGGAAAAGTGCGAAAACGAAAACGATTAATATGGATCGACCAAACTGCGTACAAATAGGCATGTAACGATTGAGCGGAGGATGTGGTGATCAGCGCCGGATGAGTGAGATGATTGGCGGCGGCTGTACTTTGGGAACTGGCCCGAAGATAGGCGCTCGGTGCCGCCAGGCCGCCCCCAGAGTCGCTCTGCCCATTACCAGTCGCCGCCAAAGTCAACATTGTTATACATACATACTAATCGCGCCTAGTTACAGCAGTGAGCGATAACAGACTCGATATGGAAGCTTTGCATATTGGGAGAACCCTTTTGTCAAGGAATTAAGAGAAAGGGTGGCAGAAAAGGATGTATTCGGTAGTGGTGATGGTCGTGAATTCCTTTCACGTGAATTCACTGTAAGAGAAAGGAGCAACCAGCGGGTTAGAATGTGAGGCCTTAAATACCTTGGCAGCTAATCGGCCGGAGAATTTCACCAGAATAACTATCCGAACTTTGCCATTTCCAATCTTAGCTGCCTGACTGGTTCGAAGACCGCCTACGTCGAAAACGTGAACCGATTAACCGTATAGTAGTAAACAAAATGAGTATAGTATCCTAAACCAAAATGCTCCTTTCCGGTCTGCTCTCTGGTCCAGTTTAGTCATCAAATAAAGTGATTTGGATCGTGACGACCGCGACGCCACTCCTTCTGGAAACCCCCTCAGGTCCGGTTTTTCCTGTAAAATTGAAGAGCAAGCGATTCCACCAGTCAGGGTGTTGATTACCCATTATATCTACACAAGATTGATGGGCACATGGGATCAATGTTCACATCATGATTATGTAACATCTATGCGATCATAGGTTATAGTTTTGACGGTATCACGGGCTCAACAGGTTCATCCGGTTCACCTGGGACTGTTTATGCCCTTACTTTTTAGAGTCAAACAGTAAAAAGATGAGGAACCTATCGGCTTTGGTCACGAACGAACCTCGTCGATCACGTGAAACAGCTGCAGAAGCAGCTGAACGACTCCTCACATCGCCGCCCTTGTCGAATTCTGAGTCTTCCTTGGATGGTGAGAAGCGAATGGTTCGTTGCTGGTGCTCGCACATGAATGAAGACGAACGGTATAAGTATAAGTAAGTAGAAACTTGATAGTTTTGACGAAGAAACCAGGTGAGAATGGATACTGGAAATAGTCCAGAAGTTGGATATTTTGAACATTGTCTTAGTCCTGCAGAATATCCTCGGCCGCGCCTTTCAGTTTTATTGAAAGGCTGTTTTTGGGGTGCCATACCGTACTAGTAGGTCCGCTTTTCTGAGTGTTTGTCAAATATAAGGCATTTCGATCACTCATCTTATATAATTCACCTTGAATTAGAAAGAATTCGACGAAAACCGATCGCAAAGGAAGAGAGCAGTTCGCTCAGCAGAGAAACTTTGTTTTTTTTTTCGAAAAACATGCATGCCATTCCTCTGAATCAAGGACATTTCTCACCTTTTCGAAACAGGTCATAGGTAGAGAAACTATCGATCATAAGTGCATCTTAGAAATGATAACCATCGCTGCCCTACCAAGAAAGCATTGAAAACTTTTGCCAAATTTGCTCAAACTAGCTAAAAGCAATGTTTGACCCTTTAGGTGACTCTTCATGACTACGGTAAGACGACGTTGTTGACCAGTGCCACCTCGAGAGGAAATGGCGCCTTTGCTGTTGGCGGGTACCTGTCCACCTGACTTGCTATGTTGTTGATATGACAGTCTGTGTAGTCAGTCAGTTCTGATACCAGTTCCTATCAAGGCCTTCGCTCCGTGGTTAGTGCGACGCTGTCGCCGCTGTCGTCGCCTTTGCGATCCGCGACGACAGACAAAACGCCAAAAATAACGGACGGCCGGAAACACCAGGTCGACGAAGCGACGCAACACTCTTCACAGCCGACAACAACTAAAAATATTGAAGGCGAAAGAACGGCGCAATCAAACGACGCGCGACGTTTTGGAACAAGGCTATCGGTTAGATGGAATGGTTAGAAAAACGAAAGAACCGGTGAGAATCTGAGAGCAACTCGTTGAAAGAAGGTCTTCGTGACGTTGTTGCCTCGGATGGCATGCGAACGGAACACCTATAAAGAACCATGCTTGCTCAGAGAATGACCAAATCAGCTTCGGCGAATTTCCTCCTCTGATCGCAGATTCCTATGTGTGGAACCCACTAAGTGAAATTTATGATGACGGATCGGTTGTTTCATTCGAACATTTCATAGGCACCTACCATCCTTCTATACTCTACCCACGTGGGATAGCCTTTTTTACATGGGGAAAGTGCACTTTCATGATCACGTGATCAGGAGCTCGACCTCGAAATGAGCACGCATTAACTTTGCCTCACGATTGACCCGTTCGACGGTTCCGAACAATCGCAGCTCAGGCAGGAGCTCACTGAGTGTGCAGAACTTATGACGGATGTCCTGTGAAGTGCCATGCTCCCGGAATCCATCGAAATATATTCTCATTTACGGTTATATTCCTTTCGAATTACCCCTGCAGATTGGGGATTGCGCTAGTTCTGCAACCTCAGGTACCTTTCCAAGGAGTTTGACTATCTACATAGCCCCGGGCAATGTGTTCGCATTCCAGTTAGATACCGGATCAGGCTGGCTTGGTTCAGGATCACCCGTCGTACTGATGGCAGAACGTACAGGAACCGTTCAAGTCCAATAATCGACATTTCATAAAACTCTGTTCTGATGAGCTCATGGCATACACTGTAGGCTACTAATTACCAGTCCATACCTCATTTTCCTATTAGCCCTTTGCTGAAGGCAGTGCGAACATGAAAGGCACTCAGCTGTTTCTAAGTGGTAGTAACGTTGCGATGATCCACAAAAATGTGCCAATTGTCACGTAAACCCGAAAGGAACTGGGAGTTGATTGACTTGGAGAAACATTACAAATTCTTGGGAACGAGAGAACAGATTCCCTTTTCAGTCCAGACATTGTGAAAAATAGAGGGTCTCGAGAAAGAACTTTGGCCAGATTGTCCTGGAACCGGTTACCCTGAAGACGTTAGAGAAATGCCCTAAAAAAGGGTTTGATAGCAGTGTCTGCCGAGAGTGTCCTCGCTGGAAGAAGGTTCCAATCACCTTCATTGCGAAAGGTGGTACCACAAAAATCCGTTGTCGGATAAGCTCTAATTCTGAACGAATTATTATTTTTTTGTTTTGTTTTGAAATTGTGCTTATAGCTACCGAGGTTGGTGCTGGAACGAGGTCGGAGTAATTGGAAGAAAGTTTGCAAGACAGAACGTTTATCTTAAACCTGTGCCCATGATTACGTTATCGGAATTCGCATTCAGCAACAATGAAGTTGTTAAAAAGAGTTGTTGGGAAAGTTCCTTTTTAGTGCAAGAATTGAGCCTTGAAAACAATGAAGTGTTCCGTGAAAAGCCATCCCTATGAGTGACATCAGCAGCAGTTTAACTTCCGTTCAGGATCGCTGTGGCCTATGGAATTCTATTTGGCTTGTACAGTGGTTTTCAACTCCAGCTATTGTTCTAGTCAGTGATGGAAGACATGGTTTATCTACGAAGATTCTGATCTACTAAGAATGCGCATGGAAGCGGCGCAACTAGTCACCGCAGCGCCTTTGTCTCACCATCAGTTCGAATCTAGAGATAGAAAGCCAATGGAGCTACTCAGGTTCCGTAATTCTTGAGATCGCAATTGGACCACGGTCCATGTTGCGGTTCTAGATACCACTATTCAATGTGGGCCTCGAAATGGAGCAGTTTGTGGGTGCGCACTCGAAGAGTTTCTATCAACCAGACAACCAGACAAGCACATCGCTTGCTCCTTACCCCAGGCTGCGATTTTTACGAATACTGTGGATACTATATTACCATTCGATGAGCTGAATAGTGAGACAACAAGAAGAGTTAATAGTATTTGGAATCAGGAACTTCTCTAAAATCCCCTTTATGACCACAACGTCCCGATGTTAGGGCACTCATCCATGTCGATATCAGAATTGCTGAAATTTTGAAGGAATGCTCGGAATGTTGCAGAGAATTTTTGTAAGACAACTGAGCAGGGGCAGATTCGTCTGTGGAATAAAAGAGTACTGACTGTGGGTAACGGGCCAGCCCAGGAGACGTATGCATATGACCGATGATGACCGAGTTTGCTTATGGATTTTGACAGTTCGCGATTTCCTAGCTAATAGAATTAAACGAAAAGGTTTTCTCTGTGGATTGCACGTTTTCATTCATGACATTCTTTACGCACCTCCAAAGCACATCGTTATCGGGGCTGATAATTTTATGGCTAGGGTCAACATTATTAATGTTGATCAGCATTTCCAATGAAATTGTTGGGGCTACCATGAGAATCAGCATAAGTAAACGGCTTCGCCATTCCAAAATATAAAAAAAGGTTAAGCGGTTGTGCACGAAATGGCTATTTCACAGCAAAGACCGCCCAAACACATGTCACGCCCTTCAATTGGGGTCTGAAAAAATCAGAACATGTACTAGCAAGGGTTTTGCTTTGAAATAAATGAAGGCGAAATAGAGCATTGGTGGAAGAAAATCTATAGGCCATAATTGATCTCGGTTTTAGATTTCAAGAAATTTTCGAGAAATGAGCCAAGTGAGATGACAAGGGTCAGATGCTTGGGATGACCAGCCCATCACTATTACGATCATCGAGTAAAACTTTCGAACAAGTTCCAACAAAAAGTGCCTCATGTGTTTCCGAAATTCGTGGGAAACAGACGGTCTCAAATGGGCGTGCATGTGCAGCAGTCACATGTTCACGCTTCTAAATTGATAAACCACTACAAGATGAATTAGGGGAGGCCATGTGATCTCTCGCTCATATTTAACATTCCATGGCTACAACATCTACACCAGAAAGCAGCGCCATCACTTCAAAATCTGTCTGCTGAGATCATAAGGTTTCTATGGTCTCTTATCATTGTCGATAGACAACCTTCAGAAAGATGGCGCTTTCAATGAACCGTTCGCCTACACCCGCATCGCTTAGTAACTGGTGTGTTCCCATTTCACCGTTAAAGTTTGCACAGAGACACGCCCATTCACAAGTCACACCTTCCGCAGTGTAGGAAGAGTGGCATGCTATCCTAAGGATATGAGAGGATAGTGATATATTTTTCAAGAATGTCAGATTTCTCTTCCCATCCGCTTTCGCTCTTCAGGTGAGAATGGTACAAAATTGGAATTCGGGTAAGAAAAAGAGTTAAAATACCTACTCTTCGGGGAATAATGCCAAAGGATAGTGAGATATTCAAAAATATTGGAGAGGACATGCTGTTAGAGGCTGCCATCAAACCGGTTTCGAAAGGTTTAGGATGTTTCCATGAAAAAGTTTTCATGAGCGACGTTCCATCAATCATTCCTTTTGATACGTAAATTCGTTCAATCATCGCTAGATCATGTATGATTTATTAGAAAGTAAATTTTGGCTGTTTTGACGTAGTGTCAACTCAAGCTAAATGGGAGCAGGTTTCGTTCTAAATTTGTAGTTTGAACGAAAAAGAAAGCGCAACGCGAAGAGATTAATCACTATCAAATGTAGAGTCGGTGGATCAAATCCTAGTCGCCTCATCGGGTGCGCTTTCAGATTTCAGGGAGAATGATATTGGGTATTCTTCATAATTCATTTCCGTGAAATCGCCTTGAAAGTCTTGATCGTGTAGTATCCTTGGGAGATAAAAAAGCAGACAGATTGCCCTTCATTTGTTGAGTGATTAAAGAGTTCTTTGAAAGAATGAGCCCACCCAGCGGATCTGATCGATAACCCAAAGCTACCATTGATAGCCAGTAAAGGGGGCTATTGGCCCCGGAAGAAAAGCTGACATAGAAAAGTTGTAAAGGCGATGGATAAGACGGTAGACTTCTCTACAAAGTAGAACTTAGCACTGAGTTGTCTAATGTATGACAAGGAAGGTGTCAGAGACATGAAGACCAAGATTTCGCCAAATGAACTATTTTTATGTTTCTTGTTGTTGCCGATAGGAACATCAGACTTCGTCGGATCTCAAGTTTACGGTCCACTTGAAGATGGGCCGGATTTCCGAACGGAGGTTCCTTATGGTCTCAAGTGTTCTAGACCGATTAGCAAACAGCAAAAATTCGAAGAGATCGGAGCAAAATCTAGCTCAGATAAGCCCGTTCGAAAAGAACGAAACTTGCCTGTGAAATGTCGGATGGAATTGCTTTTTCACGAAGACGATGCAGTAGAAATAATGGCAGTTGAAGCGGTGGCGTTGGGAGGACGAGGCCAAGCCGTTGAGAGCCACTGCGAGACCGACTGATCCCTCACTACCAGTCAGAGGTCAGCGGTCAATGACGTCATCAGGCGTCGGGCGGGCAGTGGTATCTCTGAGTAAAGGGTTGGGTTAGCTTTCAGAGGCAAGTTTGGGATATTCGCAATGAAAAACGTAGAAACAGGGATGAATAGTGGAGAATTTTCCAAGCATTGTGAAAAGTTCTGAAATATTCACAGCAGAATACGCCGTGCACTTTTCTTTCGTCTACAATTCAGTGAGTGCTATTTGCCTCAAAATAATGTAACGATGAGCCATTACGATGTAAGGAAATGGCAGTGATAGTAGCAACTTCAGCACGGGTAGAGCATTGTAGTAAATCGCAGTGATACCATAGTCGTGGTGTGTAGTGGTGTACTAGCGCAGTACTCAGGGGCATGGCTATGAATTGGTTAATAAGATCTATTTTCCAGGGGAATCACTCTCGTTGAGGAAGGCCAGTGTGCAATGAAACGTTCATGTGTATGTAAAATGATAAATATAGTTATTAGGGCCGTAGATGTGTTGCATTTTAAGGTGGCCAGAAGCGCTAACAAATTGATAAATGCTAGGAATATGAGTCAGATTAAAAATAGACGTATCCCATGGAAGTGTGGCCGTGAACGTGAACAAATATCAAGGACGTCGCCCGTTTTAGGAAGCCCCGTGAGAACGAATTACAAGCGTAAGCCAGTTTGAGCATTTTGACATGCTGAAATGAATAGTGGAGAGACGATGAAGTGAAGGGGTCAAGAAACTTTGAATCTCTCTCGAAAGATATGCCACGTGTCGAATTTCTATTCTTATCTGTACAGTAAATTGATTGCGTGTTCAGTAAATTGAAATTCGTCGGCTCGCATAGGGTCTCAGAAGTGAACGGTGAATTTTGGAGTCAGTGGCGTTAGGAGTAGAATAGCGCTCAGCTCATCCTTGTAGAGGGGTATTCTAGGTAGGCCCAGGAAGCTGTCAATCAGTTCTGTCAAACGGTTTTTGATGTTTTTGCCTGATAAAAGGCATTAGCTGCAACCATTTCTTCCCACTAAAAGAACATTTATAGTTTTTCCCATATGTCGCCTTAGTAGCGCTCCCAACAAAAACCGATTTCGTGAAAAAATGGCATAAAAAGAAACGATTGAATTGTACGTTAATCAACATGGATAGTTGAGAAACGAGCGAATGTCACTTTCGACTGAAAATATAATTCAAAGCAGTGCGAAAACGGGTTCCTGTATGTTTTGTTCTTTTGGAAGAGGAAATCCCTCAACAATTAGGCGTCGACGTAAAAAAAAAACACTAGGAAAGGGAGGATATCCAGTATACAGAATTATTGAGGCCGGTTTTTTTTGAAAACATATCAGTGTAGGCGGAATATGTCAAAATTGGAATTTCGGAATGGTTGCCGCACGAGTTTACCTTTCATAGTCGATGTTAGAGAATAGATTACGTGTAATTTGCACATTGATTGTGGTTTTTATCTCATAATTACTGGTAAATGTTAATACATTCTTACTGTCATATATTATGATAACTAACCGTAAGTTTGAAAATAAGAATGACCATATGTGCAAAGTTAGGCCATGTTTTGAGAGCGGTTATCGGGTGTTCAGTGAACGGATCCTCGGTAGTATAGTGGTGAGTATCCGCGTCTGTCACATGCGAGACCCGGGTTCAATTCCCGGCCGGGGAGAAGTTTTTGCTTTTTCACAATATAACACGTTAGTAGAACCATAAAATAGGGAAGGGCAAGTGAAATGGAGTCGTTAAAGATTGAAGTAGCTTCTTGGTGTTAAACAGAGCTGTCATGAAGTTCTTCAGACAGAAGCTTCGAGAGCAATCGGAAATCTCATTTGGGTGGGCTCCTGAGATTACAGCATTGATCAAGACATTTGATACAATAGATATCTATGACTTATGTCATTAAGATGGGTGGTAGACTGGTACGATGGTAGAAGGCATACCAACGACATGGCCTAACTTATTCCTTATGTTTGCCCAGTTAGAAATCATTGATGGTGTGGGAACGACAAAGGTGAAAGTATGAATACTCTCGATGCGGAAGTGCCTTAAAAATCGTCCTTCCGCAGCCATCACTGTAAAAAATACAATTAATGCATATGACTAAAAATAAACTCAAAACAAAAAGGGCTAAATGGGTGGAGTTTCACGTCAGTCAGAAGTAACTTCCTTTTTTAGAAAACATCTGACCGAGATGTAACTCTTGAAAATAAAACCTTTCGTCTATATGGGAAGCCTGAAAGTGGAAATCTTGGGGAAAAACTACCCAGGTTCAGGATCGAGCGCACCAGTAGCTGCGCCAAAAGTAAAGGGACAAGATTTTGTAGGTCGAGTCAAACTATAAAAAGGGCAGTTTTCAAAGAATAATTGATATCAAGAAATTTTAACGTGTAGTTAAGTTATAATGCAGTAATATGAAAGATGTGCCAATCCACTCGAAACATGCTATGTTGAAACGCCTGTTCATGAGGCCTTACCAGTGGCACCAGTCTTGTGTCCTCGGTAGTATAGTGGTGAGTATCCGCGTCTGTCACATGCGAGACCCGGGTTCAATTCCCGGCCGGGGAGAAGTTTTGCTTTTTCCAGCGTGACACATCTTGTCACGCCCATATGAAACTTCATGCGATCTAAGGTTCTTACAGGGCTTCCAGCCCATAAATTACTTACATAAGATCGAGTATGGACCTAGTTGAGTCAAAGCAGGTGAAAAAGTTGGCCACGCATGAAATATATGAAAATGAGTAATGATTTTATATGTACTTCTTTGGATTTTGATACTTCCACGTTGATCAAAATAAAATGGTAAAAATGATCAGTATAGAATAGTTTTTTCATGGAATGCTATACGTCTTCTAGATGAATGGAGACGGGAAAATGATTTTGAAAAGAATCCTGAGTGCTATGAAAAGTTGACGTTTCCCTCGACAGTTGGAGAAGCGGGAGATTCCTATAGTTCTAAATCAAGTAACGTTTCAAATTGAATCGAAATAAAGTTCTCAGAATGTAGGAAAACCAAGCAATCGAATCCAGTCGATGAATTAATAACGGAAATGATTGTTTGTACATTGTAAGAAGGCGACTTTTCCTGCACAGGTTTAAAGTTTTAAAAACGATCAATTGTTAAAGAACTTTCCTTTAAATGAAAGTTTTAAAGTGAATTTTCTAAAGGAAACTGTGAACGATGAGCGGTGTCTCGATGTGATTGATTTTCTGCTTCTAAGAATTATTATCATACCAAACGATCAATATAACTGGTTGGAACGATTGAAAATGCGCACGTTTTTGCCGAAAATTGATGCAAATCTCCGATAAACCGTATCGTCCCGTTTTGATTGATTTTAAAAATGAAAAGTTTTGAAAATGGGCGGTACCAAGTCGTCCTAGAACCTGCAGAGCTCTTCTAGCAGCGTCAAATGTGGAAATCATGAATTGAGATCATTTGAAGGTGCTCATTGCTTCAATTTACGAAATGTTGGTATTTCAAAGATATCCTATCAGTTTGCAGTAAAAGGCAAGCAATCCAATTTTTGTTACTTTGCAGGAGCGTCATACGAGTAAGACAACTGGAACCGAAACATCGACGTTATCGCTATTTGAGAAGGTCATCATGAAACGGAAACTTTTTGCGGCAAAACTGTAAGAGGTGTGATTTTTGTTTCTTACCCATCTGGGTCCTTCTGCTTTTCTTTGTGCTCGAAGCTTTAGCTCAAATGGAAAATTTGCGTCGACGGTCTTAACTTGAGGTGTCCGAATATCAAATGCTGACCCGATCATGGCACTGAGAATGTGTAGAATTCATGAAATCGCTGAGAAAATGGAAAAGCCTCGCCTTCTTTACAGTGAGAATAAGATCCCAAGAGTGTACGCGATTTTTAAGCTAGGCATAAACGTATTTTCATGAAAAAATGGGAAGTTATAGACAAAACTTCGGCCCCGGACGGAACTCGAACGCGCTCGCTCTTGTGCTTTGTGGACGCCGTGCTCCTTATCCCTCACACTACGCACCTAATTATTTATCTATGTATTATAGATGTTTTGGTCTACACCATGTATCCTTAATGTTTGAAAAAAAGCTTGACGAGACGTCCGATAAGTAGTATGTACATAAACGCCAACTGGTATATCTAGATCGGGAACATTAATCTCCGGTAGATGAGAGAACTGGCCGTCACAGGTAGCTTGGAACTGGCACCAGCAGGCGTTCATGCTATGGTGTGAGAAAGAGAAAGCGGCTGTGAGATACGGGTTGGGATATGGGGAAGACGGGGTGAACTTGATGCGATAAGCAATTCGAAATGGGAACAGTCCAACGAAGATCTGGGAACAGATACCCATGTTTGAAACCTACTAACTCCAGCCTGAAATTGTTGCGGAAATCGGATGGAGGGATTTGTGCGGAAGAACCTTTATTTTTTCAGTCTCAGTTTCCCGGTTTTTTGTCTTCCGGGCAACTAAAAATGGTGTTACTATGGAAGGTTCCCTTTATTCATAAGATCATCTTATCAACAAAATCGACTATTAAGAAATCTCGAAGATCGAGAGAACATTTCTGAATCTTCTCCATGGGGTCTGATAAACCTGACCATAACTCGATAATTTTCGGCCAATTCTAGACATGGAAGTAGCTAAATGAAGTATGAAATCCTTCACGAACGCCTCACCCCACTGAATATCCCGAAACCCATTAGGAGAAACAAAGGCGTTGAAATGGGGTGGTGAGTGCGACTGCTAGCCAGAGGGATTCGGCTTTACTGGGCTCCATGTGGGGTGGATCAAAGCGCAAACTGGTAAATTCATCATAAAAGCGCTCGCGGGAGCAAAAAGATGCTAACCTATTTAAGCGATTGTTTAAACTACATATTCAACTTATTTTGGCTTGAATTATTTGGGACACTTTGAGAAATGTCAGAGGTTCGGACTGGGTTGTCTAATGTCTCAATCAATTACGGTCAACAATCGCATAGCGGTCAGTGAGCGGAGCAAGAATATATTTCATTCGCTAGTTTGAATACAGAATATTTGAGCGTTCTGGGCTTTTTTTATCAGAATGTACAGATCTTTTGGAGTAGGCGAATCATAGGGTGAGTTAAAAGTATGTATAGAGGTAGACTTCAGCCTCGAAGTACAAAGGGAATAACCGAATTCTATATTGTTGAATTTTTATTTCCTTTGATGCAATTAATTGGTTATATCTAGCGGAAATCTTTTCGATTGAGGCTTCCCCTTAGGTTGCATGACCATCCAAGTACAATGGGATAGTTTCAGAGGAACTTCCTTTAAAGTTTCGGTTCATGCAATCATGAGGAAAAGTGATTTCAAAGTGTCGAAGATATAAGAATTAACAAAACTGTCATTGAGTGTTCAAGTCTGGAGAGCCGCGCCCACTTTACAATAGTAATTGAAAGTTACTAGAAATGTATCGACAGGTTTGTTAAAAGAGAGAAGAAGATCAACTCCGAGTGCTAGAAATAGAAAGTCCGATCGATGACTGAGGTTGAGGAAAGCAGTTGTGATAAGGGCGCAAGGTAGCGTCCACCAGAGGACAGGTTAGTGAGCGGGGAACTTCGTGGGGACGCTGCAAAGATGAAGGACGTGACCGTTGGGCTATGAAATGTGTCGCGGACAAGCACGCAGATGGCGGTGTCATGACGCCGCTTACCAGATGAATGACCGACCGATCATCGCTCTCTCACCACACAATGGGCTAACCGTAGTCTAATGGCATTCCTTGCCGGGCCGAAGCCACTAGTGAAGGGATGCCACCAGATTATTTGAAATTCATTAGCCAAACTTTTTTCTGCATTTAACATCACATTGGGGTTGAATAGGATTCAGTCGGTTGGAAATAAAAAACATGAGGGAGAACGTGGGAGTAAAAGACTCTGAAAAACCTCGATTGCAGTCATAGCGATAGATCCCATCAAGCAGTGCCTGTTGGTTTCTACTGGAAGGGATCACTGACACAAAAGGAAAGAAAAGCAGCTAATGTGTAGAAAACGGTTTCCCCTCGTAGTGAGATGGCTCTGGCATCCTCTGTTAGCAGGATGATTCGAGCACTTTCGAAAAAGAGACGACGCATGGCACTGTCGTAGACTACCTGGAAGGCCTGTCTCAAGTTTGAAGTCGGTGAATGAGTGGAAGAAAAGCATTTCCGAGCCATTCGAACACTTTCGAGAAGGAGTCGACGCATTACTTACGTGGTGGGCTGCCTAGGAGGCCTGTCTGAAATCTGAAGCCGGTAGAGGAGTGATAGAAAAGCATGCCCGACAAACTTGACTGAATACGATCGAGTTTATCCTAGCCATAGTGATAATCTCGAGGTTTAGGTTTATTCAAATCCAACCACAATAGGGACAAAAGATATTTCTACTCCGTGAGATCGGTAGTTAACGAGTAGCACCTCTGAGGGCTACCGTAACCCGGGCAAGCGGCAGTGCAGGGAGAGCGCCTCGCTTATAACTGGCCCTAATTTTACGACATCATTACGAATAACGCGATGATTAAGTTCCCCACTTCGTTTGCAGTGATCCCGCACGGTTTCATGAACAAATGACGTCATCCACTCAAAGATCAGCACGGTTGAGCACAAATGACGTCCGCCGTGCTGATTAAACCAGATTGTCTGTCCAATAATGACACGACTCGATTAATTGTCGGGTAGATGATCTGTTGAACGCTAGTTCAGTACTGCTAGTTTTGTGGCAATATCATGCGTTGTGTTCAAAAACACGACCATATTGTACGCAGTCCCATGAAGGATGGAAATATGCTTCACACTGCATGTACAAGTTGAAAGTTAGCTCATTTTCAATGCCAGGAGAGTGATTGTAAATGAATGAGTTGTACGGTGGAATGTGATGGGTGGAGCTCAGAGTTCAGGACGAGCTTAGCCAAATCCCTAAATTCTCGGTTAGACTCATCACGCGATTAGTGGCACTTGCGAATTTTGGATGGATGCGAGTGTAAGGCGCGCTCTGATATGTTCCAATAATTCCTGATGTCTTCGCTTTCTTTCAGTGATTAGCCTATGATTGAGTTACAGTCCTATGACAATTCCTATTGAAGCCTAAAACGTACTGAGCGATCTTTTTCAAGTAGCCTTAGTAGTCCCCCTAAAAGATGCCCCATTCCACCTACCTTCCTTCTTGCGTCGAAAAGGTATATGGCTCATATAATTGGTACCATCTACATGTGAAGTGACGAACTGACGATATGATAAACGATGCGTTTCACCCAAATCGAGTTTTTTTTTGTTGAATACTTACGTCCGTAAGGAGTGATTTGCGCTCCCTGTGGCTGATCTACAAATTATGCATCTGGTAGAAACCTGAGTACCTCTTGTCCCACCCTGCCCGCCCTGCCTTCCTTCTGATGAACGAAGAGTTTGGGAAAGGCCTATCTCTTCAAAATTTTCCCAGAATCACTCTTCCAAGCTGATATCGTTATTGCTTTTTCTCTCCCCTTTTCTCTCATTCTGTTTTTGTCATCGCTACCTTCCGGTCTGTTTTTCATGTAACGACAAAATTGTGTAAGAATCGCAAACGAACTCGAGAAAATTTTCACGTTTCTTGACCATATGAAAAACTAATTGGAAACAGTTTTGATGTGCTATCAGTGGCGTTTATCTATAATCTTATCAAATTATCCAGTCCTCATTGAAAAAAAAAACGAAGAAAATGGCGCTGGGCGATGTGAGAACTGTCATGACAATTACTCTCGACGTGCTCGATCTCTCGATGTCTCCAATTAGACTGGTTTGTAGGCAGACGTTCAAAGGCAATCAAGGAGAATATAATTGACTGTTGAACATTCGCTCCGCGAGCGATCAAAAAACGCGAGAATAACTGCAATATGGACGATGCGCCACGCTCCCGGTCTCCATCGAAAGTCGTTGAGATACTTGAACTTTGCATATGACGCGAACAGTTATGCAGTTACAGATTTTGCTGCTCCAAAAATTGTAACAACAGCTATCGAATAAATCAACGCAACTGTAATAAAGGGTGATGAATTAGTCAAGTATGACTCATATCATAGGATCTTGGATGATTACAGTGTTTTTAGACAGTGAGCGATGCTGTAATGCGTGATTCTGCGTGTTTTATTTTCCATCTACCCGATTTCAATAGACACCCAATTTCTACGATCATACTGGATTGAAACCATCTAGGGGGCGCCATGCATCCAGCATCCATTTGAGATCACAAAAAGCTGGATTTAGCCCATGCATTTTACGTCCTGGATTTGTTCCAGTTTGATTGGATTAAGTCATCTCTTAATAAAGTAGGCCTGTCAGTGACTTTCGTTCATAACTCAAGTCATGGTGGGAAGGCATAAACACCCTTGGCGTTCATATATGATAAATGGGATTTCATTGCGATTCACGCAATTTCCATTTGGAATTTTTTCCATCATTGCCGAATCATTGGAAACCGACTGCTGGAAAAACTCCTACGAACATTTTTGAAGTTATGAGTCTGTACTGGGTGATTAGTCAGCGTGTTTTCTAAAGTTGCAGATCGGATAGTAGTTCAGTAAGAACGAGTCCGTTTTTTTTGCTGATCATTTTTGCTGACTCACTGCACAAGATTTCTCAACTTCGTTCTTTGTTTGGTACGAAGATTCAAGAGAGCATGGAAAAGCGTCAATAAATAGAAAGTAAAAAACAGCGACATTCTAAAAATTAGTTGTTTGGGACAACTGAGCTCAAAAAGCTTAGGACTAATCTGAACATATACTGAATTCCCATCTCACATCTCTTAGTTGATCTGGGTGGGGTTCGAACTTTTGAGTAATAATAGTGTAATGCGGCGCTCGACGACACCACTTTACTTATGCATGCGGAGGCTGTTAAGATTTGAAGAAACAAGGAGGCGATCGTATTAAAAAAAACACGAAAGGGCAGTCGTTTCTATAAGTAACTAACGTCTTGCGCTGGGCTGCGTTCCCCTTCCCCTGTTTATAGAGCATTCTGATTCCCAATGTGGCCGAATTACCGGGTGAATTGGGACATTATCGAGAATTTATTGTGCGTTTATTCCGACTTTTAATTACAGATAGGCATTCTGTTTAATTCATGATGCTCTTTCAAAAAGGAAATCACCTATTTCCAACTGGACATGCTGAAAGAAAAACTGATCGCCCCTCCATCTTCCCTACCCCTCTTCCCACCACACCTGAAAATGGTACATCTACTAGGACATCAGCTCAAGTAAATCCGGAAATTGGAATAACAGCGCCCATATTTGCCGGAAGTGTATCGTCAAGCCTTCGAGCCATCTTGGTCAAGTAGTTACAGTGAAACGGGGAAATGGGAAGGTGTCACTGTTTTGCATTTTGTGCTTATCGGCTTCAACAGCCCGCTTTGTAGTAATTTCTAGGAATAAAATTTGTTTATTCATTTGTTTGTCTGAATTCATCCTCTAACTAGCTTATTAATACTTGCAATCAATACGTGACCTCCATTTTAGTTGTTTTTTTTTTCTTTCAAAAGCGATTTCCTGGTGAGGTAGCAGGCGGATCGCTATGAATCAAGCTTTTTGATACCCTTACTAATTAGATAGGGAAAGTGATACGGGAAGTGGTTGGCCGTCGAGAACACCGTTAGGTTACGTAGCTGATCTTCGCAGCTCAATTTCATAAGCTGGTTCCACTTCCAGCCGCCGCTGCTGGCGGCGTTGGCGCCGCTGAACGAGCGAATGATGAGGTGCTCGCGACTTCTTTTTTGTCGTTGTCCCACAGCCACCGACCACAAAGAGGTCTATGGGTATGTTGAATAGATGATTGGTGGAACGGAAGCGTCCTGGTGCGAAACTCCGCCCCAGCCACGCCTACTTCTTTGGTTGCATGGTTATTTGTAGCGGACCCCGCCCACTGGCCGACAAACTGACCGATCAAGGCTGGAACTTTTTGGTCGGCATGTTCCCATGCGATACTTATTCGTTCAGTTCAATGGGCCATATTTCATTTGGGTTGGAACAACGCTACTGAGACGGCGGCGTACGACCTCGACCGGCGAAGCGGTGACCGTAAGCCCCAAAGACCAACTGCGTCATCGTTTTCTGATCGCGTTCAGAGTTGTAGTGAATCATCACAGTATGCAAGGGAATGCGTGGGACGACATCCGAACGACGACCGAGTGACATTGCTATGCGGATGTCATTCATCCGTTTTGTTGCAGCTGCAATCACTCAGAGGAAATGAGTGTGACGGCTGAGAACCGTTGTACCTTTCGTTTTTAGAAGAGCTGGATAGTGATGGATAGCGTTGCTACTGCACGCGCGGGTAAGCAACTCCTTTTCCAGATCCGATACCTCTGAAACCGGCAAAACCTTCTATGCCTCCGTTACCTGGCAGCTTTTTCCTCTGACAAGAACGGAAACAGAGGTTAGCTCAACTGCCTCCGTGAATAGGCTCAAGTTAACTTGAGAAGCCTCAACAAATTAGGAATGGATGGCACATCTGGTTGGTGATCAGGCCCATATGGTACATTACTTACGCTCTATCATCGGCTACTAGTTAGTTTTTGATATGAGCCTAGCAGAAAGAGAGCGACGGCCACGGTAGCTCAGTAATTAAAAAAATTCTAAAAGGACATCTGCGTTCTAGTACCGTCTGGAAATGATGTTTATCGAGTACATCAATTAGCAGCCTTGCAAAATAAACATATGTATTTGATTTTATACAAAATAATGTCCTTCTATGTATAACATGCCGACAATTCCAATTATCAACCCAATCAACAGAGCAGAAAGCTGAAAATAAGGACAATTGTAGGTTTCAGTGGGCCCTGCAATTCCAAAGGTGTAACAAGTGCATGGCTAAATTCAGAGCAGATCTGCAGGGTGATTCAGTGCAATGACTCAGGAGAGGAAAATCCTATGACAGATAGAAGGCGTATCTGCTTGTGATGTAGATGGAATGTTTCAATGAGATTGATCCTACTGGTAAGAGTCCAATTTGCCAGTACACCCTCCCCATTCCCACTTTAAGCGGAAACCCCGCCAACGTGCGTCCAGCTCTTTAGCATTAGAGAGGGATGGGTTGGACAATCAAATCTCAAATTTTGTAAAGAAAAATCGTAATTGTACACGCAGGCAGCACTCCATCCATAAATCGGACCATCAGCTGCCTTTTGATCCATTGACGTACTGTCGTAATGTAAACAGGGGTGTTCTAGACTTGTACCTTTTCCTTAGGGTACGATTTTTGTAGGAGACTAGAGTTTTTTTGAACATTTGGGATGGTTGGGTGGGTACCATGAGAGACTGGAGGCGCTAGGTAGGAACGTAATCAATCAAAAGAAAAACAGATCAACAGCCGATATGAGCGCCGATAGTTTCGTCTCTCCACGGTTCTTTGAAGACGATCCGAGCTTTGTCACTTTCATGATCGTGCTGAAAAATTCATGATTAGCCAATCATGGGAATCAATGGCAACAAAGCAGAGCTAAGATAGCATGGTCTCATTAATACAGTCAGTGTCCCTAGTTCGGATTCTATCCCAGGCAAGTAAAATGCTCCGCAGCTTCGTGATGAACATCATTATCACGGCTTTGTCGTACTGCTTGGGGTTAATCGAATATTAATTGGAGATCGCTACTCTTGTCCCTTTTCCTTTCTTAAATAAGTCAGCCAAAAATTTACCGAGACGTCTTCAGCACTGAAAAATGTTAATCGATCCACTTCAGCCACAACGCGATAGCCGAAATCCTCAATTTTCTGAAATGAATCAAAGCTCATTCTTCATTAATTCCCTTTTTTCTTTAGTTTTCAAATCTTCTCTACACGTTGATAATCTTCGTCTGTTTGGGGTATAAACTGGCAATCTCGCCTACTGCTGTGGCTATGGTTTTTGGCCCGTAACTACAGCAAAAGGCGAGGTTGGCTACCCGGAGTTCACCGATCTCTCCAACTTAAGCTCATGGAACTTTCTAATGCCACCTGGCTCATAATTTCTCATTTTTCGCGATTGTGGTAGAATAGTTACAGTCCTGATACCGCCAAATTTTGTAAACATTGCTGCAGGGGTTAGAGATTGATGCTGATGTGAGGGAATCACTTTGGGACCGTTTAGGGGAATGCTGTTATCCCTCGTAGGCCCTACTCTGCTGCTGTTTCACTCATGTAAAGACAAATCAAATTTTAAACTGCAGAGGCCATCTCAACTTACATATCGCTCAAAACTATTTGAAATCGAATTTTCATTGAAGAAACATACCTTTTGCGAATGGAAGATGGCTGCGTCGGCTGCTAGACCGTCAACTTTCATGAATCGAATCTGAGATTATGAACTATCAGCGAAACTTTAAAATTGTTGGGCCGCATCCTAAGTAACTCTATTTCAAGTAGGAAGTTTTTCTTAAAACCAGATCATATCACCTATTATTTGGAAGGTGACAGGGAACTCATTTGCCCTGTCACATAAAGTTATACGCCTCCATTTTAGTGACTTATATGTATTAGATTGAGTTTGCCTTTACAGATTGCAACTTTATTCTAATCATATCATATGTAGTCCAACCACATGGCCTCGGTTAAGCAAGTGAAAGGGCGGAGGTGGTGTAGTGGCAAGTGGCGCACTATAACACACGTACGGTCGGGGGTTCGAATCCCGGATCGATCCCGCCTAGGCCAACCAAGCCTTCCCTCCCTCCGGGGTCGGTGAATTGGTACCAGACTCGTCTGGGAGGATAAAAGCACTGACTTGTACATCGGCTGGCCACCGCAAGTCGTTGTATAGGCCACATACGCACTCATTACGCCACTACGATTCTGAATGGAAGTCGAGTGCGGGGGTGCATCCCTCGGATGGGATTGATCAACGCCAAAAAAACTTTAGTACAGCTCATGGTTATAACTTGGAAGTAAAGCCTAAACTGAAGGGAGGGAGAATCTAAAAAGGACCTTACAATTAGACCCTGGCCCATGAAACCAGTTCGGCCACTAGTTTGTTTTGACCTTTCAGAGAGCAGAATGTATTTTTAGAGAAAGCTTGCTCAAACTCACTTCATCCATGTTGTGGTGAATCAAATTATCAGCGAGGTCGGTTCCGCAATATTTATCTGCTACTAGTACAGCCATTAAAAAGTAGACTTTGTTAATGTCGGGATCGACGGCGGCCCAAAACTGGAAGGACAAGAAATTAATATAGTGATGGACTTAGAAAAACATAGGGCTTGATCTAAATCAATCACTGTGGTGCGCATTACACCCATTGGGTTCAGTTTCGAGTTCCGGGAGCGTTTGTTCAGGGATTCGATCTTAGGAAACCAGTTAAGCGTGACATATTGGCGCAAATTTAACATTCATAGAAGAAAAATGGCCAAGAACAGGTGTTGCCGAAGTCGTCACGGTGCGGTTTTTTTCGCGTTTCGAAGACCTATTGGCAATTTTGCATTTTATCAGGAATGGATTTGAAAAGCTGGAAGTGGATGTTCTAATAAAGACCAACACAGCCCGTAAAAATTAAAACTTTTTGCAAGTGCATGTTTTTTCTAAACTGAGGCCATATCAAGACGCCGGCGATGGCGACACAGCGCGTTAAGTTTGTTGAAAAGGCTTTTATTCTGTTGTGAACCACGCTTCGGTACCAGACTTCCAGCAGGGCATTAATGCGGAAATTCGGCTCAGTATTTTGTTGAGCGTTGACCTTACCGAAGATAATGTCGTTTGGGAGATTAATTACAATCAGACGTTCTAAGAGAAACCAAAAATCGAGCAGTTGACGAAATCAAGCGTTTAACCACCGCTTGGGTACAGTTGGTCGACTTAAAACATACGTAAAGTCCGTCCTCGGGTAGTAAAGTACGGTGCTCGGGTGATAATGCAGTTTTTGCAGTTGCCATTTAAAGGCACAGGTCAGGACAATTTTGGGGGTATCCGGTATTTCAGAGATAGTGGTAGGTAAGGCCTACACTAAGACAATCGTAAAGCCTAAAACGCTAAAAACAGCAAGAAAAAGGAAAACAAACGGCCGAAAAAAAAGAGGAAAGAGTGGCAAGACGAGTTTCATAACGGGGAAACGGTGGTTAAGTGAAATTTCGCGGAAGTACGGGAATGCGACGCCATGTGTGCAATGGCACACAAAACACCCAACCAGCTGATTTAGACTACATACTTGAATCTATTTATTCCCCTGCTGATATTTTGCTGTACTTTTATGATTATTCAGTTGTTCTGCACAGAAAGGTGAGTAAATTCCCTTATATTGATTAGTTTACGATTAAATGTACCTAAGTTTTCATATAGTGCGTTGTTTTATTAAGTGCATGCTAGGATTCCAATTTTTTTTTATTTGCAATGGATTTTCTTCATTTGGGGTCATTTGGGACGACAGGCAGAGAATATTTAGAATATATTAGCGCAGAATAATAGCAGAATACTAGGAATAACAGCCGAATACTAGCTTCTGTACGAGGCGGTCGACCAGCTGACCATTCCTGGCAATTTGCCAATCAGCGTATCGATTTTCCACCAACTTCGCTCCAGTGCGAAAGCGGTGAAAGAAAATTCGAACGCGTAGTCAGCCTAGCGAGGGGCGGAGCCCTGACGTCCCCCAATGTTCCTGCCCTAATTGTGCCCTATTCTAACGAATTGCGATATCATTCCTGCACAAATGGTATCAGGAGGGGCTTCGAATTCAAACTATATGCAAATCTCCGGAACACCTTTTCTTGACCTGTTTCCTGACCTGTGCCTTTAAGACCCGTATTGTGCTATGGTCAAAATCCAATTTAAAAAGGAATCAGATGAACAGGCGAAAATTGTAGTGCACCCCTCATTTGATCGATTCTATGTCGTCTTGTCACAGTTTTTTTTTCGAAGTGATTAGCGGAAACGGTTTTTTTCGGATTTCATTTGCGAGTTTAATATGAATTCATTGACAGGTTATAATTGCATTTCAGGATTTCGTGCTCATATGAATCAATTTTTTATATAATTCTTTCAACTTGGTCACCCATCGAAGTACAAGGACCATGAGCATCCGGGTACAGTGTCTTTAGTAGAACCCCAGAAGCTGTTTAAACTACTGACCTGTTGATGCAGTGTGCGCAGCATGGCTAGAGTTCGGGAAAGTGTGGTCGAAAGGTCCTCGTAAGGCAAACCCTAAAATCGAGTCGTCATTTAAATGAGTACTCTGGAACAAGGGATCATAGAATATAGAAAACAGTGGTTGGGATGAATCGCCTTCTTCCGGAGCGACAAGTGCCCATTTTAGTCTTGACATACAGGAATATAACAATCAGATTTTTGAGGTGAATGAATAAGAATCATTCAATGAGTTGAGAGTACTGGTCCAAATTGATAAGTTATGGTATGTTGACAGAATACCCGACCGACCCTAACGGGGAAGGAGCCCGATCGAGTTTGATCCACAGATTGTTTCACACAAAGCGCTTTTTGATATCATGACATGATTTACTTATTTGTTTATATTTTTATGAAAGTCTCACTGTTCCTGGTCAACCAACCTGAGCTTCTTCAGCGGCTTCATCCCGTGTTCGGAACGTGCTTAGTCTCAAGGCTACAACATCATGGGCATCGGTTTTAGCCAAATAGGACACTCCACTGGAAATCGCTTCGGGAAATAATCCTTCAAAGAACCACCTTTTGACTTTCTTCAATCCAAATCAAGTGTGAATCCCAAATTGTACACTACATATGTATGGCCGAAAATCTCAAACTTTCTGGCGACTGAAGAAACACACCTTTGATAAAAGTCAATGCATCGTCTCTACTTAACGATAGATTCCTCTGCACCGAATCCAAAGCGTGCGGGTCATTAACGAGAAACTGAAAATCGTCGGAAATAATTTAGAAGCCATAAAAATTGTCTTAATTGAAATTGTGCAAACCATTCCTCATATATGGTTTATTGAGAGGTTCGAAAATATGTTCAACAGAAAGGAATTCTCCCATCTCATCATTTCGAAGAGATGAGATAGTTCTAAAAAAGTAATTAGGAAGTTCAGAGGAATATTTTGACAAAATAGGCCTGGTTGAGAAACCGCAACGCATTCACAGTCAGAAATGAGGAACGCACCTTTAGACAATTCCATCAGAAGCGCTTAAGAAGTTCCTTGTGGCGGTCATCGTTTTGGGTACATGATGCTTATATGTTTCATGAAGTACACTGATATCAGCAGTTCTCCATCACTAGCCCCTGCAGAGTTAGCATCTATCTCTGGTTATCTAATTGTAAGCTCCCAAGCCAAGTTCTCTCACTCTTGCACCCAAATCTGCAGTATCCCAGAAGATGAGCATGACTATTCGAGCAGTGAGCATGAGGACGTTTGCCCAAAACATTGCCACTTTCCCGTTTTGGAATGAGCTTGTTGACTGGTGACTTGGTAGTATACGCCTCATGCTTCTCGAGTTAATAGTAACTAGTTTTGTTGAAGTGCATCTGAGTCCTAATCTAACGGATGATTCGAGTAAAATAGCCAGCGTTTCAAGACGAAGCCATGTCTGAGTTGTCAGAAGGGATTGAGGTCGTCGGTATGAACGCGCTAACTAGGAGTACGCCCCCAAATTGATATGCATTCAGAAATGTTGGCGATTTTAAAAGCTCAAAAATCTTGCTACATATTTTGGTTGGGCTCTACATTAAACGCCCGGAGTAGTCTGAAAGCTCTTATAATATTGAGCAAACTAGGATAACTAATACCAATAAGTTATTATTACCTTTGAAAAAATGCTTATTAAAATAAAAAAATTAAAGATAACTAAGAACGTTCACCAGACCTTGATCACGTCATCGACGTCGTGCTTGGTGAACCGAATGTAATGCATTCTTCCCAAAGCAATGGGCAGAAACTTGTCTAGAGAATAGTGGAGTCCGTTCACACAACGCTGTGCAGTTGTAGTGTTTACTAAACAAAGCTGATCAAATAAGCTGTCTTTCCAAGGCTACAATCATAAGGAAAAGAGCGAAAGATGGAGGAACATGGATTTTCGATAAATAAATCCTTCGCTGACAGGTGTCAGCTACTCAGGCACAACAATAACAGTGTGTCAGTTGTGTCCATGTGCGACTGCCGATGAATCTCGGCGTTCTTCTTTTAGTTTGAAGTTGACTCTTTAAGTGTGTCAGTTAATGTAAACACGGAAATCTCAGAGTGATTCCTGAGACTATTTTAATCGATACCGATAAATCAAAACAAAAACGAAAACAAAAACGATGACATAGATCAAAACAAGGACAAAGGAGTGGAGTAGTTGGTGTGATCCATAAGTCAATTTTCATTTGAGTGTAAGCGTTTCCAGCCATCAAGACCATCGGTTCTCAGGAATGCTCTGGGACCTGGACACCCATGAGTAAATGGCCGCTCCTAGAGCAATTCCCACTCAATATAGAAAACTCAACATAAATTGGCCTTGCTGTATGGGAAGCTGTCTCCTGGCTCTTTTAATTCAATCAAGCCCAGCTGCTAGAAAAAGTCGCCAAGTTTGGCTACATGACGGAAAAATTCCCCGAGGATTCATTAGCAAGGAGCGGGCAGTCATTCAATCACGTTCACGATTGAAAGACAGTGAAGCCTATAGAGCTGGAGAAGCCAGGAGATATTAGTAGCCGACCATGGGATCTGATGGGAAATTCCTGACGTGACGTCGGTTGACTAAAAAATAACATGAATAAAGGGCAAAGATAAATGAAAGGAAATAAAAAAGAGACTTAAGAAGGTCTGGTGTCGAAATAACGAGCAGTAGCAAGCAGTCCGTTTGAAAAAGACATCGTTGTATTGAACGTGAACTTGCCAGGCGATGGTATCAACTGATACCACCAAAAGTTGGTGCAAAAGGAGCGGAGATCCCACAAAACTTCCAAAAAAAATTGGAAACGGCTACTAAATCAAGCCATACTACGATGTACTACGGCACTTACGTAGTAAACAGGGAGAATGTCTTGTAACTATCTCAATTATTTTCATGAACTAGTGTTAATTTCGGAGCCCTACCAATCTAAAGGCAAAGATACTATTGCGGGGATAGGCAGGGCGTTACGGCTCCTTCGGAGAGTAATGGTCGATGTTATCATTAGTTTACGTCTTTCACTTCACCCTCTTCCTTCCCCTCCCCCTTTACCCTACCCCTGCCAATGTTTTTCTCATCTATTTAGAAAAACATATTAGTGACGGTCGATTACTTCAGCACACAATGGCCCAGGGTTTCAGGTAAAAAGGTTAATGGTTCCAAATGGTTATTCGATAAGGAAATTGAAAGTTTTCGACGAAGCTCCAGTTTTTCAAAGTGATCCAAATACATTGAAAAAAGGGTTTGCATGAGCCGTTCGCAGATTTCTTCCTCCGACTGTTCCATTTTATATTTGCTATTCGGATCAATGCACAGTCGGAATAGGAGAGAAAGGATGAGCTCTATCCATAAATATGTGGGAGAAAGAAAGGAAGTGGCTGGTGCCTCTCTATACGGCTTCAAACGTCTTACCAGTCTATAGCCATGGAACCCGCTGTCGGAACTTTAAAGAAAACGTGAATACATGGCGCGTCTCAGTAATATAAGCTTAGGTTTAGAAAGCTCAAAATTTTGATGTGGGATGTCTTGCCTTATAGAATATATCAAGGCATCTGGACAAATATTCTTGGGATGCGCTGTACGCTATACTTCTATTCAGTATCAATTGAAAGCACATTAACGATGACTTGAATAATTATGAGTCAAGTATGAAACGATGATTCTGGCCGGACCGCCAATGCCGGAAAATTATTACATAAGCGCAAGAAACCTTTAAAAAAGGTCTGAAATTCTTTCTCGTTTTCAGGTTTAAGCGTTATGATGAAGGAAGAGAGAAACGTACAACCGACGCTCAGCAATCTCTGCTTGGACCCAGTGTAGCCGAAGCTTCTTTGGAGGTAATTCAATCAATTCATAAAAATTACAAAGCCAAAAATGACTTATCGACTTCAATCCGATACCTTGCACGCCATCCCTGTGAGGCCACAGACGAATGAAAAACTCGGACAGCCCATTCGAAACACCTTCGCGTTTTAAACAGGATTGGAGCTTTTACTCCTTCCTATACAGACCGTTTTTGAATTACGCAAGGTCGAATAGCCTATTCTGCAGCTAAGGTAACGCTACAGTTACTATCAGTTATCCACACCATAGTTATGTTTCTGAGCGGCTGAACTCCCATAGCACATATTTCACGTGTGGAGCACGACAGGAATTTCCACTGGTGAAAATTTGAATTTCTTTGGGAGGGATTAAATTGACTGAACCGGGAGAGTTCCAGGACAAGCCGATGAGCAGTAATAAATGGACCGGACTATTTGGTAAGCGAAAAGAGCCATACATACTCGACTATACGTACTTCATAATAATGCATGTGGCTGAGCTATGGTACAGCCATGCTCAGAAACCGAAATGCATTCGCTCGCGTGGCGTATGATGTGGCAAGGTTCCAACGTACGCAAGGTATATCGATTGGCCAGTCGATCGCTGTGCTTCACCTTTCCCAAACAACCCACTGTCCCAGCTTTCGTACGATAACGATTCTACGAGGAAGGGAAGTACGTGTAACAAGACAGATCCTAAATAGATGGAGGAACTAGAAAAGCGTTGGAAAGAATGTCTGGGCATCAAAAGGCATGCGCCTATTTTGACAAACAACACAGCTCATATGACACAGACGCCGTCGTGTTGACGGGCAGGACGGCCATTACGGATCGAGCGAAAACACGGGAAGTGCGAGCTGCACAGCAACAACAGACAATAGGTATAATCTGATGGTACCCAGCACCACCCAAGGCACACAGAGCAATCCATCCCGAATGATCCCTTTCGAAACATCCCATGTGCCCTTACATCCGACCTCCGTGACTCGATGAGTCAGACTGCAACGGGTGGCATCAATATGTCAGAAAGTCGTAGTATTTGGACGGGAGAAAAACGGCAGATACGCAGGGGGCCACAACATGTGCGAAAGAGTAAACAGCTAAGCCCGAGAGAATGTGGCATAAAGTATTAGCCAGAAGATGTAATGGTCATTCGGTGGGTGAGGGCCGATGCTATTTTAATTTTGGTCACTTGATGAGGCTTTACAACAGCAACGAAATGCAACGCGGTCGCGTCGCAGCGAGCGCGATTCAATCGATTGATCCCTAAATGATGTATAACTATTATTCTGATTTCCCCATATTTCGATTGGAAACATAGCGAAACTGTTTCACGAAAATTTCTTCTTTCTATCGGCGAAAGTAGAGAACAGAGTGAGCTATTTAGACGAAGAGCCGAACTTCTTCATTTCGTGACATCTGTTGGAAAGTAAGATATCAGGATATAACTAATTATGAAGCAGACAAGCGGAAAGTAACAAAGCAGCAGGAGTAAAATTTCGGCCATTGGTCAAGGTCTATCCAGGGTGATCAAAGTCCTGGTGTCCTAGGAGACTTCCTTTCTAAAGAATGAAAGGGGGAATGACTTAGGATAGATCCCTAATTTTTGAGGCTCGTCCTCTATAATCCCATGCTTATGAGCCACATCCCTGTTGCCCCTCTTCGTGCTGCTTTTAAGCCGGTTCCGCATCATATATCGAAAGTGGTCCCCGTTGATCTCCATCAAAACTTTTCGGCTGCAGTGATGATGGCATATGCAATGTTTCCAAGGCACCTGTGGTCTTGCAAGTACCCTCCACTCCCTTCAATTGAAATTTGTACAAAATTCAGTTTCACGTTTTCCTCACTTAAGCATTTCGTGCGAATCCTTTGTCAATTTCTTGCCGATCGCCCTTGCTTTTCGTTAAGAACAGATATGTTGGATTCGTGAACCTTCCGGACTTTCTCTCTTGAACCATCTTTTTTTGTGTTTGCCGACGTAAGTACCCAAGATTGGTTGCTTACTTTCGGGGCTATCCATGCTTAGGTATTCATTCAGTGTGCACAGTGTACTTGGTATTGGTCCACTTCTGGAAATGGTTCTCGTGACCATTTCCAGGTCCTAGAAGGTGTTACTACTTCAGAAGCCACTACGTTCCATCGTCGTGATAAGGTGTACACCACTTAATGCAGTTTTTCATGCAACACCTTTTCCCTTCCATTTCCACGTACGGTCATTAGGAGTGCAATGGGTATCATCAGTATACGGAGTCTTCTCTTTTGCTATAGAGCTCTACGTTGTTGGTTTTCGGATCACACAAGTCACTAGTTTCTCTGGAATGGTCCTCACTGATCATCACGTACAGTACACCACGCTAGGATAACTGTCCAGTTAAGTACTGAGTTTTTTTACACTGTCAAACTTCTAGAAATAGATCAAACGCGAAAAGTGGCTGACAGTGAAATAATTCATAGAAGGAGCCGCAGAAGTTGGGAGAGCCGTAGGTTACAAGCCATCATGGACTCTACTCCCCTTTTCCTTTATACACGGTTTAGAATGGCTGCTTCCGATACGATTCCTTGTACTGATTTCAGTACACTTCGTCATGCCAGTTTTTTGTTAGGCGAATATTTGATTGAATCCGCCTCAATGAATGATTCATGTGATTAGGCAATGGTGCTTATCTTCTTTACGACCACAGCGACTCATAGATTCAGGCCTCTAGCAGTGAAAGGAATCATTCGAGAAAAGCTGTGAACTTCCGATCCGGTTTAGGAAAGAGCTTGTGGTCGAGCTCCATTACTCGAATGTCTGATGTGCTCCATGGAGAAACCGCGTCGCATCTCGACACAACAGCGAGAAATCGGTCCGTGCAGGGGCCTGGGTTCGCTGTTTTTTTTTGTTGCACTATCGTGAGCCCCGTGGTGATTCATTGCCATTGATTTGTTCTCAACTGCCACTCCCTCAACCCGTTCAGATACTTGTGTCCTGCTGCACATGTCGTCCTGCTGTCCTGAGGAAGTGGCCGAGGAGCACAACTCGGCTGAGGAAGTGGCCGAGGAGCGCAACTCGGCTTTCGAATCGGAAGATCAGCCCTGGTCCGTTACCCTGACTCCTGTTAATGAGAAACCCATCACGTTTCGAATCTACCGTGGTGAACCGATCGAGTTCAAGGTCACCTATAAGGACAAGGATGAGCTGTACGAGGCGGTGAAACAAAAACTGATTGAGGTTGGTGCTCCCGACGGAAAACTCTATTATATCTGCTATCCATTTGACTATTCGCTGATTGAAAACGCTGACGATCTGGTCAATGCTATTCTACCGGACCGACCACTGAAACTATTCACTACTGGGGCAGAGGGCGACGTCACATCGACGAGTAGCAGCTCGGAATCCTCTTCCGAAGATGGCGAATCGACTGGAAGAAGTCGCCGGCGATACAGAAGACGTTCTTGTAGCTTCGGTCGTAGTTGCAGACACTGCCGCTGCCAACCCCAGCAGCACTCCCACGAATGCTATTCAGGTTTCCCATGCATGTACCAATTCTCTCCCAATCAGCACTACGGTTGTAGAGGTGGTTGCCATCACTATGGGCCTTCTCCTTGCCATATGAGTCAATGGGGGCATCATCATTGCTGAAAATACGCGAAAAATTTTATTGTTATCTTCTTATTCTCACTTTATTTGATATCCGAGCACTTTGATGATGCATTGTCTTACCATCATACTCGTTGTTATTATGTTTGTTCTACTTTTCAATATTTGTTATCATTTGTATACGTTTTTTTTTGTAAGATAATGAATCAATCAATGATTCTATTGAACTGAATGAAGCATTGGGCATTTCCAAAAGGGCAACCATTCAGAAAAAAAAAAGTAGAAAGCGAGAAACTGGACGGTTTTGCACTTCGTGTTTTCCTTTGTAAAACTGTTTTGTTCTCTCCTTTATGCATTAAAAATATAAAAAAGTGCAAAGTTATTCATTCAAGCGAGAGGAGGAGGTGTTGTGGGGCCACAGTTTTTTAAAACAGGTCACTTTAGTCACTTCAACAGGCTTCACATCATAAACAGGCTCAAAAGCTAACGTGAACATTCAAATTAAGCTCTTCTCTTTCTTCTTGAGTTGTTTGACAGACATATGGGTAAATACAAATTACTCGGATAAACGTTTCTTTCCTTCCAAAACTTACGAATAGCCTTTCTTCGATTACTTATCAAGGAATGATTCAGAAACTTTGTTTTTGCATTGTCAATTGAAGAGCTGTGCCTTTTTTATTGGAATATTTATTTGTTTTGGAACAGCTAGCTTTTGGCTACCAATGAGTTTACTGAATTCCGAAGGAGCGCTAATTCGATTCGACTCCAACGCCGATTTAGAATCGAAGAAGCGTTTGAAGGCGTATATGGCCTATTCAATGACTGACGCCAGTCAGCTGATGAACATAGCAATGCTTTTATTCTGACAAACGAGTCTAATGTGCAGGTGACCGATCCAAGATTAAGGAACCCCACTGGAATGGAGAGCTAGGGTAGTCCAAGCGGGTCACCGATCAAGTTTTCGTTCCCGGACTCCGCGTGTGGTAATGACGACACTAGACATTGTCGACACGGGATGAGAGAAGTGTTGAGTATTAACTTGGTAAGTGAATTGAGCCAAAAGAACGATTTTTCAGAGAAGTATTCCTCAGTGGTCATTTTTTTGTGCCTTCTTTCTCACTACTTCCAATCTAGTTTCCTATACTGTATATTATTCTGTGTAACGAAGGTTGTATAATAAAGATCTCTTATGTGCATGAAAATTTATGTGTCGAATGTGCGCCCGAAAAAAAATGGTATTAATTAAACGTTCAGTTCAGTTCTCGGTATTCGACATTTCAGCACCTGCTTTGTTCCTTCCCTTACCCCGGTGAATACTAGTTCGACAATCAGTATCGGCCTCGACCACCTGTCAGAAATACTCTACGGGACTATTGTTTATTGTATTAGGGTGTTTTTAGTGAAAATATCAATACAGGGATCGTAAACAGTGGGGGTCTTGTAGAAGCAGGCCGACGAAACATCTTAAGAGTGCACCATTTCTTTAAAAGTAACTGACTCTGATCCCAGGGCAACGTACTTCACCATACAATCGAAACTGTGCTAAACTTCGAATACCAGGTACTATGGCGAGAACTGGGCCTAGTGCGGCCCCTCGCCTGGACTATGACATTGTACTATTGCCTCTACGTGACGAGGGCGAATCTCTCATGGCAAGGAGCCTAGACTTCTCCCGGGTACTGTCTTGAACGTGTAGCTCACGGGTACCTTCAATCACATAAGCAAGTTCAACCAAATTGTTAGCTACGTGGCTCAGATGGTTGTGGTAACATCATTCGCTTGTCGGAAACACGGACCAACCACAAGTCATCACCGCCACCGTCGACCGCAACTGTGGACGGCCACCGCGACAGATGTGTCGTATCCGTCGCTGGTTTGTCTAGACATTTTACACGTGTTAAATTGAACTTCGCCTTAATAAACTTTGAAAATCTACATTGTACATCGTTCGCTTGAATGTTAACAGAATATATGAGGAAATACCAGTGAAATTTTAGCTTTCGGATCGCGCACTGCGGCGAAATAACAGCAGTTAACAAAAAACAAAAACATCGAGTCACGTTTCTTCCTCCAAGGTCTCCCCAGGACAGCCTGAACAGGTAAAGAGGCGATCATTACCTGTACTATAGCTAGTTCCGTCTAATGTCGTGGCAAAAGGCAAAGCAAGCTAGCCTTTTCAACTGTACATACTGCAATAAACCAATTGTTGAAGAAAAGATCAATAGCTACGAGAGCAATCGATATACATGCAGTAGTATACTCTTCAAAGTTATATAAACTGCCCGATCACAAATTTCCGAATTATAACATTGCTCATGAAAAGGGAATGAGACTCTTAAGGAGATGCAGAGAAGTCGTGGTGAGCAGTCACCACCGCTGCGAAGACTCCCACTTTTCGCCCAAAGGCGGAGAGAGGGCGTAAAAATCGCTCACCTATTGTTTAGTGCTCATATGTGACTGCTATAGCATCATAACTGCGTGTACATAATTGTCCAGCGCTTTTCACGGAATCACCTTTCTGAATTATGCTACATCTTGCAGTAGTGTGCCATAAACATTTCCCTCTCAGGCCACCTGCTGGCTTGTTATCTGCCAAAATGATTGATTTTCAGCATACTTATTTACATTTATTTATTTATTTACAAAAAGCCATAGAAAGTTTACCAAATTGTGATACTGTTCATCTCATATATGCTCCTGAAACCAGGGAATAGTACTGAGAGAAGTAGACATCATCAAACACAAAACAAAACCGCCCGCAATACTTCAATACCTACAACCATTCGAAAGCAACTTTTAAATTTTGCGGACTCCCACCATTTGTTAAAGGACGGTGAGGCGCGTTCGTGTCAGGCTCTCGAGCGGATCTTGCGTCAACCATGCACAGTACGCTTGCTCATTCTTTGCGGCTGGCCTATGTGATTCCTTTTTAAATCTTTTTGTTTTCAAAGTTTTACGGAGACGTTTGTGCGTCTGTTAGCTTTAAAATCATAACGTAGTATTTACTTCGAATATATTGTGGTTCGAGTACTTTTGCGTTCTCCGTTCCAGAGCATTGCTGGGTTTTTTGTTCGTTTGTCTAGTTTTTGACTGTCGTGCCCATGTAGATTCATAGCTTGAGAAATTTTTTATTCGTTTGTTTTTGGTTGTCGTGCCCACTTATATCTATAGCTCGTGAATTTCGTGTTGTTTGAGGTGAAGGATGTTATCGCGCAGTTCCTGCATACCTCTTATATTTATTTATTTTTATTTACCTCTTATGTTTGTTAGTTTTAGTTTCAACTGGGTGCACAAAATGCCTGAGATCATAGGGAAGTTAATGAAACCCGATGGGTCAGTTACTACCGAGTTGGAGAAGCAAGTTTCACAAGCCCTGGTTGATTTGGAAAGCAGTGCTGACATCAAAGCTCAACTCCGTGAACTTTATATTGTTGGAGTTCGGGTGAGACTTTTTGCTATTCACTTTGATTGATCAAAAACGTTAGGCGGATAGGAACCATTCTGTGGTTATCCACTTGGTGGGCCGAAATGCCGCCCAAAGCAACAATGAGAAAGTTCAACAATGTGCTCCGCGTTCTGCGGATGTACATGGCCCTCATTGAACAGTTGTCCTGTTGGCCTGTATCTGTGAAAAAATTCTCGTTTTACTTTTAAGTTATGGTTCCGAACTAGTTTCTTGAAGAGCTTACTGTCGAGTTGAAAGTGAAGCGCGTTGAAAGAATCAGTACCTCCATCTCCATCCATCTTGCCGTTTTTAGTAGTGTAATGAATTAGGGCAGTTCAGGCAAACTGATATTTTGGCAGGAATGCTCTAGTAGGTCGCTCAACGCGCACAAACTAGGAAGCTAATCACGCTTTCACTTGTTTTTCTGTTTTGATACTCAAGAGGTATCAATTTCAGGAAATTGAAATCGGAAACAAATCAGTTATTGTTGTATATGTTCCCGTCCCACAATTGAAACAGTTCCACAAGGTGCAAGTGCGACTTGTTCGTGAGTTGGAGAAGAAGTTTGGAGGAAAACATGTACTTTTCCTAGCTAAGGTTCGTCTTCATCTGAACCCTTTTTCCAATTAATTGTTTTTGATTCTTTCAACCTCGTTGTTGTTGTCAACTTGTTGTTGTGTGGTGCTTTCGTTAAAAACTATAGGTATAGTGAAAGACAAGCGATTAGCAGAGCATTACGGTACACGGGCTAGACTTGAGCCTTTATGAATATGCTTCTGTTCAGAACGGTTTGTCTTTAGTTATTGCGCGATTTCATCTGTTTCCTGAGCAGTTTATAATGTAATTTGACAAAACCTTATACCACTTCTGTTCTGTTGAGAGGATACGCATATATGTTTCGAATCGTAGGGATTATTGTTCCCCCTTCGCTTTTTCTTTACCTACCTTGCAGAGTAGTGACTGCGACCAATTATCTATTGCGGTGCTCCCACTTTTTCGACTTTCAACATTTAAACTATACTTTCTTTCGCGGGATTCGCTGTGGTCCTGAGCTTGGCCTTCTTTTATAGGTGTGTTGCTGTAGTGGTGTGAGCCAAACATTAATATACTTACAAGGATGAAAGCGATGCGGAAGGGAGGGGGGAAGAACAGCGCGAAACGCTGCACTTGTTCCCTGAGATTTCATTCTCCTTCTTGGTTAAAGAAAAGGATGTGCTATGCAATACGTGTTGCCTTTATTTTGCGAATAATCTGGCACTAATTCAATCCAAAAAGTAAATTCCATCGGAAAAAAGGTGTACATGATTGCGAAGCAAGTGGTTTCTGATGTTTTATTCATGGGTTTCATGACTGAATACCTTTTTGTTAAGAAAATATCTTTTTCTTCATTTGAGGTTTCTTGTTTTTTGTTGCTGGTAGATTTTCTCATCATATCTGATTCTCTAAAACAAGAATCTTTTTTCTTTTAAGCCCGTGCGTTATGAATTCCTTTGTACTGTACTCGTAGTCCTCTTTCTGCGCTAAAAACTGCATAGTAGCTCTTGTCTTTAGTTATTTGAGAACACTAGAATTTTAATTCTTCGTGTCTCTCTTGGTTTCATGCTCTCCCTATGTCTCCTACTTTAAATGCTGATCAAGATGTTAAAGATTTGCATTCATATTGGATTGATTGAACACCGCGGATAGGAACCATCGAGTGATCGTGTTTGCTCTGTGGGCCGATTAACCGCGCAAACTATATTTGGTGATAATGGTCGCATTTTAACGAATGTTACTAGTGCATTACCACTTCATCGTACAATTGTTATTACTGTTTATGTTTACTAATTTGTTTTTTTAAAGGTTTAACGACTCCTAATTTAGCGCCGTATCCTACCTAAGCCCCTGCGTGGATCCAAAAAGGTTCCAATGAAGCAGAAGAGGCCGCGTTCGCGTACCCTCACTGCAGTTCACGAGGCGTGGCTTGATGAAATGGTCTTCCCCGCTGAGGTTGTTGGAAAGCGTACGCGTGTCAAGCTCGACGGCAAAAAGCTTTTGAAGGTATGTTGTTATTATTCAAACTGTGTCTTTTTAGTTCCTAATAGACTAGAATCTATAGAGACAGTGAAGTTGGGAAGGGTCACTCTCTGCATCGGTAGCAACCACTTCACTGCATGCTCATGTTAATTCCTATTCTCCTTGTGAGGCTCATTCGCATTTCGAATGATCTCCTCCGAGAATTGGCTTCATATTTTGAAACGGCCTTTATGGGAAATTAACGGAAATTTGGATGTCTGCTTGACAAGTTGGAAAGGATAAAGTCTTTGACGTTCATCAATCCCATCTTCAGAAGCTCTCCTGCTTCTAAGTTCCATTTAAACTCGTGGAGGCCTTCTTGCCTGTGTGGCCAATACAAATCCATCAACGCCCAAAGGCTTCATTGGCTTTAAGGCTTTTTCCTTTTATAGGAAATCTTTGGTGTATATGATTGTGTTGTAATTGGTGCTTACGTCAACTCTTAGAAGTCAGGCAAGCGGTAACTTTCTCTATTTATCTCTTTCTAAAAGCTAGGGGAAAGGTAAAAGTATGTTAATATTATAAGTTGAACTCTGCACATTAACATGCCCTCCATATTGTGAAGCTCTGTTCATGATCCAGACAACTGCTGTGATAAGTGCTCCCCTAACCCATGACTAGTATAACTGTCTGAAAACTACCCATTCAACTACCCTTTTCTCAAAACCCGGAGTGTTTTTCATTTGCTCTGAAGCTTTCGGTTTTTTTGGAAAGTTTTCTTAAGGAGTTCCAGTACCTTTAATGATTCTGTCTTTGTCAATAGAATTCCGTCGATATTACAAAAAGTCCCTTCTTTCATTTGATTATGTCCTGCCTCCCTTCTGTTGTGATTGTAGCACTATTTTTTCAGGTAGCTTTCGGCAGCAAATAGTGGAAATTGTGAAAAGAACTTTCTTTTTTGTTTAAGTTCTTTGTATCTCTTCTCCTTTTGTCCAAAGTGAAACAAACAGTCTATTGGTGCTTTGAGAAAATGTTGTTATTATCTTCATATTTACATGTTTTCATGTTCAGGTTCACCTTGATAAGGCCCAGCAAACGAACGTTGAGCACAAGGTTGATACGTTTGTGTCCGTGTATAGGAAGCTGACAGGCAAGGAAGTAGCGTTCGAGTTTCCTGATCCGATCTTCTGAGTTGTTTTTTGTTGACATAAATTGTTATTATATTCTGGAGTATGTGACAAGATTCGTATATTACACACGACTGTGAATGAAGAAGTGACGGTTTTGCTCAGCGTTTTCTGACTTTTGCTTACATGCAGCTGCAGCAGCTACTTTATAACATCTTATTTATCGGTAACGCACCCACCTGTGAGAGACTGCGCAGTAATGTGCAGCTCATTTATAGGTTTGCTGTGTGTTAGCGAATTGTGACTGTGAGCAGCACAGGTGTCTCCGTCAAAGGATTGTGTTCTCCATTTTGGGCTTTTTGGATGCATTTTTGAATGAGTCATTTGAAGGCGGCAGATCCCTGTTTCACTTCGTGGTTGGTTTCGTTATGTAACACCCCATATACTTGTGATCTTCCTTGGAAAGGGAGGACATTATGACAAAAACTTTAATTATGGTTGGATAGCAGTGAACATGAATGACTGTTTGATCAATAACTACGACATATGGCTACTGTTTCTGCATCGCTGATGAACGGTCGGTGTCTCTTTTAGTTTTCCGTAATGGTGGAGCTGGTGTCGATATTCTTGGAGTGGTAGGGCTGCTATTAACACCAGTGCTGGCGTTGTGTTGCATGTTGGAAACAGAAGAAGTCGACGATGTTGTGGCCGATCCATTGTGGGCATCGTGCATTTCCACATCCAGTTCTTCTATGCGATCAGATCGAAGTGACACCGGGCCTGATTCTTCATCTGGAATGGGTGAAGGCACTTCTTTTCTTTTCCTTTTCTTCTTCTTTTTGTGCTGAAAAAAGTCATGACCCTTCTCTGGAATTCAGCCATTGCGTCCGTTTACCTTTCGTGTTTTTCTTCGCGATGATGAGGAACCGTTACTCGTGCTGTCACTATTATCATGATGCCCTGCAACAGAACACAGCAAAGGCCGTAGTTAGCGGTACTACTCAAAAGATGGTGACATTGGCATTCTCGTTTGCAAATTGTCGAACGATGCAATTGCGCTAATTCGGAGCTTAAGTTGAATTACCAAAGAATCGTTAATAGAGCGTGCCAGCTTCGCCTTCCAAGTTGTTGTTTGCCCAGATGACCCATTGCCTCTAACCCAGAGACTTGTCCGGAACACTTAATAGGAATCAGGGAGAAAAAATGCAAAATTTATCCTGTTGGCAGGCCGGCTGGTCCTGTCTGTCCCATCCGGAGAGGCGCTCTAGTCTATCTATCTATCCAGCTAGATCTTGGAGGAACTGAAGACTCACTTTTACTTCTTCCTGTTTGCTGTTTGTTAACAAAGCAACCTCCTATTAAGTCGCATATCTAAATACTCAAAACGTCTTTGCTGCCGAACCCACTCAGTTTTAAAATGGCTTTTTCCTACCGTAATTTCTTTGTAGTGCAGGTATAACATGATGCCAGTGAGAACACAAATCCCAGCAGTTATCATCATCATAGTCCTCTGCTGGTTTGTTGTAGTCACCGGAGTAGGAGTCGACATGATGTGAAATGAAGCGTAGCTCTTTGGCTGTTTACTTAAGAGGAATCGTTATACTGAATGATGATTTCTACTGAATCGTCTACAAACGTTTTCGAAGGTTTGCCTTTTACTTCACTGATATCTTCCAGAGTACAGCTCCTTTGGCACAATAGCGTCAACGCTCGACGCTCTTGTGTCAGCCGGTGACGCGCTCGCGTCTACCGGTGGCGCTCGGTTCTGTTGGCGGCTCCGATCGACAATCGATACGGTGCGGCTCGGCGGTGGATATTGTTTTGATTGAATTTCTTAGCGTTGTGCTAGCCACTTTTACTCGTTTTTTTTTTTAGTTTATAGGATTGATTTTTCACTTTGACCACTATGGTGTAGCGTTATGAAAGCTCTAGGCAGCTCTGCTTTGAAAATAACATGCTCTAGCGCAAAAGCCGCCAGCGCTGGCGCGGGCACTGAGGCACTTAGTTGGCGCTGGAGCGTCCATTCGACTCTGGCACTGTCCTATTTCAGGGCAGCTGCAGTCGTCGCAACCAGGTCACCCGCGTGGTGATCTTAGAAGTTCATCTCAGATCAAGCGTTGGCATTTTGCTGCCAACCAAAGGACAACTGCCTTTCCTCGGGAGATGCTACTTTGGTACTATTCTACTATTACACCCCCAAAACTCAAAATTGTAATTCTCGATGAAACTTCGCTTATAGGGGTAATCCGATCCCTGATAACGAATATGACCATTACTTTTGGCGCTGGCGCCATTTGGCTCCAATTGGCGACAATTTGGCGCCAAATTTGCGCCAATTGGAGCCGAATGGCGCCAACGTCAAAAATGAACTCCATATTCATTATCAGGGCATCGGATTACCCCTATAGACGAAGTTTCATCGAAAACTAAAATTTTGATTTTTTGGGGGTGTAATAGTAGAATAGTTCTGGGGGTGTAATAGTAGAATAGTACCGCTACTTTTTCAAGTTCATATCATTTCCAAGTTGTAATGATAATTTCATCCTGGTATGCATGACGGTTATGGTAGTGGGAGCTTGTGAACTGTGTGTCGACTGAACGGACTGGACACATAAACCTCAAAAGTAGTTGCTCTAGTACGCGGTATTTCCTACTGTGTCAAACTGCGACAACCAACTTAATGAAAGGGACGGAAGCAGTGACTGGCTCAAGCGGTCTGAGCTTGAAGTAGTNTCATTTCCAAGTTGTAATGATAATTTCATCCTGGTATGCATGACGGTTATGGTAGTGGGAGCTTGTGAACTGTGTCGACTGAACGGACTGGACACATAAACCTCAAAAGTAGTTGCTCTAGTACGCGGTATTTCCTACTGTGTCAAACTGCGACAACCAACTTAATGAAAGGGACGGAAGCAGTGACTGGCTCAAGCGGTCTGAGCTTGAAGTAGTGTTGTGCGGATTTTTAAAGAAGAACTTTATGTCCTAATTGTTTTGGAGATCTTCCACTTTTACAATGATGCTTTTGTAATATTATAGTATTCATGTATGTCATGTAATTATTTGTGTGGTGCTAGTATATAATGGGATCGATACAGTAGCGCTCAAAAGTATTCGGCGAAATGCTTCTTCAGTTGTACTTTTCAGCCGTAACTTCTTTCTTACTGGTTCTATTCATGCGGAATTTAATATTCATAGCACGAATGTATTGTGAATATTTACCACTATTAACCTGCAATCTGATCGTGTTCCTGACGTCCCAAAGAGCTGAATTCTGAATCAGCTGGAAATACAGATGTTCTTCCTTCTGGGACTTCTTCCCTTTTTGCGAAGTCTGAAGTGTAGAGCACTAATGCCGAACAGAAGAGAAGAATAACGCACATAAGGTGCGAATAACCGTAGACGTCAATAGCTTTGCCTTTAGCAAAATCTACTACCGCAGCAAGTATTGCTCTCAGTTATACACATATTGATGCTCCGCAGTCAAGTAGTGTTGGGTAGTGCGAAATATGCTTTAGATAAACATAACAAGATTTCGCGCGATTTGCTCCATTAACAATAAGAAAAAAGTTATAAACGAAAAAAAGTGCAAGCGTTCGGCCGAATTCCTTCGAGCACTGTATGTTCTGTATGTTATTATGCCAGGACGGGACAGAAAGAACCACATAGATGGAGTCCCGCCTAGGAAGGAATGCTCTTAAAGATCTGTGCACCGATGGATCGAGAGTGATCACATTGCTGTAGGTGATTAGTGATTAGGAGGTAGGTAGTCACAGGAGTGAACATGCCTGAGGAAAGAAAAGGGGCGGGAAGAACGGTATAAAAGGAAACGAGAGGTCGTCGTCCTTTTTTTCCCGGCACCAGCCATCTACCCCACGGAGTAGAGGACTCCGTGCCCTTGGACACCCTTAGTGAGTGCTGTGGGCCGAACCTCCATAGCTCGTGAGCTAGGTGATTCAGGATATTGAGGAAGACCCAAGTGGCTGGATCTTTTTGGTGGGACCTACCGCGGTTCCCTCTGTGCCCGACCCAGTCTTTTAGTTGGGTCTTTTTGCTTTCCGCCTGGTCTTTGTTTTATTTGTTCGTGTTTTCTTGTTGTTGTTGTTGTGACAATTAATTTATAAATCGCCGTGTTTCGCCTGACACTCGGGAACAGAGCCACCCCTCTTTAGTGTAGTCTTGAATCCCCTAAGGAGCGACCTTACAATTAGGTAGAGTAAGCGTTAATTATGCCTTCCATCAACTCATGGTTAATATGGTCAGTATAATACCGCCAGCCTCGTCTGAGAAAGCAAAAGATGTGTTCATACATACGACGATGTGTTCATATATGTGCAGTGCAGAAGTATGAGAGGTCAGCGGTGCGGGGGATTCCGCTGCGGATTGCTTATTTTCACGAGGTCCTGAATGAGCAGAAAACCCTGTAGTTTCAGTTCCTGCGGCGATTTAGTATACCGTGATTAAGGTGATTTAGCCGTTCTACTGTCATACGATTCCTCAATGCGGCTATTTTCTCGGAACTGCCATAAACTGTACAAAACCCTCGAATTTATTCGAAATGGATAGTCAGTCGTTTATTTGTCGATCGTCGACCAAATTATGATGAGACTATGTCATCAAACAGTAGCACTTTAAAACGCTATCTACAAAAGTCATGCATTCTCGACGGACTTTGCTCGGCTACAATCGGGAACGAAGAATGCTCTCTTCTCTATTGAGAACCGATTCTCCTCACATTTTCCGCGATCAGCGTTGGGTTGGACCGCTCGGGAAAGGCTGCTAAAATCTCAGGGCCAAAACAGGCTACCTAAAAGGCGGTTACTGACTGGATCCCTCGGGACATCAAACGAACTCCAGGACGGCCGCCAACGGGATGGTCAGACTTCTTCACGGAAGCTCTGAACGAAAGGATGTTGGACTTCGTGTCCCTGAAGCGAGGACGATTCACGGACCACTCTGGCTCGTGTCAGGGAAGAATGGAGACGTTACTGGCGCCTGCTCGAGGAAGTCGATTGTTAACGGGACGACAGATGATACAGGTGATTCTCCGCGATTCGGAAGCATTCGCTCAAAATTATTTGAGTCTGGACCAGGGCGATCACATAGAGATATGGATTGCAGGGGTGTGGCATGTTCTCTCCAAAAATCGCGTCGCGCTAGCCGCACCCTATCGCGCACAGTCGGGCGCTATGACGTTAAAGGTTTGAATTCCCAGTGGAAGGATACGGTACCGCGGAACCACTGCTGCATGCCGTGGCAGTTCGAGAAGAGGTACCGCCACCCGGATTGTATCAACCGTTGGTCTGTTATTTATTATAAATTTTTCGTCTTCTTTTGTCTACAATCTTTGTTTGCAGGGAGCAACGCGATCAAACATGAATATGTACATGTTCTAACTTGGTTGCGCAAGCTGATGGTGAATGGCAATGTGTCGTATACCAGCATAATGATAGCGTTATCCAGTGATGATGTAGTTTTCACCTGTCAGAACTTGTCCTCCTGTCAGAAACAAGACTTGTGAAGTCTGATTAAGGCGTTTTAACAGGTTCACTTCCGCTGATAAACTATTCAGGTTATTTTGATCCTTTTCTATGCGGTCGTGAATTATTTCATCTCAGTTGGGCGTTTCGGTAGGGCCATTTACTTTTCTTTTTTTTACATTTTCCTTATGTTCTTGTCGTTCTTTGAAATGTACTCGATTTGTTTTAGTACGAAAGAATGGTATTTTCCGAAGACGAGAGATCTCTCGAGGTCAGTTCAAGGATTTTGCTCAAGGCCCGAACTTATAGGAAATATGTAATCTCCTACCTGATAGTTTTGCCTCGCTTTTTCATTACTACAAATAGAATATTGAAAGCAAATCCTCTCAAGGAATCCATTGTAGCTCATCACTTTTCGTCGTAGCAAACTCGCTCCCGATTTTCCATTTTTCAATTTCAGTCAAAATCAACATGTACTGACACTGAACCTTCTCACGAACTGAACGATTGCTCAACGATTGCTGCCGATGGGAGGAGAACAGGTACGATAGTTAGTAATTAGCTCGTCTAGCAGTTCAACCGATTTTTGTCAGCTATTGCTATTAGAAATGAAGGTATCGAATAGCCCTCATCTTCTTTCTTGTTTATGGCTGTCAAGAACACATTACGTGCGGAATTCATTCTTTTCTATGAAGATTATCGGTTTTTTTTACATTCGTTATTGATAGAGTCGTTTGATTTATTCACGATCTTTGTTTGAAAAGTTTTAGTATAATGGCGGTTTGTTGTTATTCAACCTTGAAATAACTAGGCAGATTTGTCATTCTAAACCATTTCCCAACCCGTTGTTCTCAAGCGGCTGCATCTTTGCTGGTAGGTCATCAATACCACTCATTTGAGATTATCCTCTCCCACCTAATTGTTGGCAATTCATTAAACACCGGCACTTTTGGTAGCCCTATACTTTTTGGCCCAAAGTTTTCAGTCCAAAAACCTTCTGAAGACTTTTAAACATTCGTGTCTTTAATCACTTTCATTTTGACACGTAATTCTACATTTTACATCCATTTGGAAACATGGTGATATGCCCTTGACCACTGTGAAGTGACAAAACTTCAAAATTGAATACAATTTTACAATCAATTTCAGGGATAAAAAGAGGCTCGAGCAAAAGGGAACATGGACGTATGGCCGACCATCAGCTGGAAGAAGATCATTTATGCCAAGAACGGGCTTATGAGCTTGAAAAAATGAGAGAAGAAGAGCTGCTTTCCTTCAAAGATTGGCATCGTCGAATTAAAGCCGCCCGACTCCGAGGAAACGCGCGGCAAAGAAAGACAGTAAGTAATATGCAGTCTCGTAATGGGTTCTGTATAAGTTTGGTTAGTTGTTGACTGCCTGGAAGTGCCATTTGTCAAAGATGAAACGTGACAAATCTAGTCTTTGCTCGGTCAGGTACCTAACTGATACTCATATAGAGAACTCCAAAGCTTTTGTCAGATATACCAGTTAATATTTTGTAAATCTGAATTTGTAAAAGATGATAGTCTCTTAAACGGCTTTCAGAAACGTGAACAGGATGAGCAGAAAGCGATGGAGGCGGCCCGATGCTTTGCGGAACCAATTCGTCCAAAACCACCATTACCAAAGAAATTAGTTAGTCTTTAGGCTGTCAAAAGATTTTTATTAAAATCTTATCAATCGTTATTTATTGGTTGTCAGATTTACTTTTGTTCTTTGTAATGTGTGATTTTTGAAATAAAAAGAGATAAAGTTTTTTGAAAGGTTCTGTTGAAAGTTACATTCAGCAGTTTCAGCAATACAGTATTTGTGTATGTCTACGTCAGTACTATTTAAGGAAAGAATTTTTTTATAAAGAGGAGTACCAGCTGATTGAGTGAATCAAAACCAATGTCTGCAATCGAAAAATGCAGAATCGTAGTGGACACATTTGTGACGCATCTCTGTAACCAGATGGTACCGGGATGAGGAAGTTCGCATCCTCCGAAAACGTCGAATGGAAGGTATAAACCAGTTCATCTCAACGCAAGGAGTTTATAAACAAGCTTAAAGTTGTTGCTGTTGTTGTCAAGAAAAGTAACGATTGTTTTCGACCACTTTTGATCACACTTGGTGCACGGGGTAAATGGAAAAGGTAAAATAAAATGATCATAAGAAAGCTCTGCACTCACAGAGAAAGCTTTGGAACAATGAAACTTCATCTCAAAAGAAAAACACTTTCATGCATGAAATTTATTTACCTCTTCTAGTATTTCGAACATAAGCGTAGCTTTTCAGTAGTTCTATTTCGCAGCTGCCACTCAGCCCAGCATACTTGTATCTACCTGCGACCTTTCTGACGTCATATTTATCCTGAAACTGACGACCGTCGTCGATGTGTATTGCGAAGGTATGGTTTATCCGCTGTGAATAATTCTTTTCGAGGCAATTTGACTGTGGTGGCTGCGCTTGTAAAGTGCATTTAGCATAAGTCCGGCATCTCGCCTGGCTTACACTCAGTATACCCCGTTATTTTGCAGCGGTATTTTGCAATATGCGTTTAACCACCGTTTTACCAGCCCGTGTTTTGCACCGCGATGGACGGCGTGGAATTGAATAGGTACCTATCAGTAAGAAGAATTGGTGAAATGCATACGCTTCTTGAGGGTATCATCATAAGGAACTGTCAGAGGGATTTCTTTTCACCCGTTCTTCAAATCCCCTTATCAGAGACAATCTTCCAGGCTTGACCATTCAATACATATACAATCTTTGAGGCCGTCCATACGGTGTGATAGCACTGTAACGGCACGCATTGGCCGAATTGCCTCGTACGCATTCATATGCTTGTGTTTTGATTTATACGAGCGCATCTTCACTCAAAACATGGTCTGTTATTCAAACTTTATCAAAAATTCTTTTGAAATGTAAGCTTTACAATGGACGAATACAATTTGAAGCAAATAGGCACATCTAGTAACTTAATCACTAAGCTGATACCGGTACATTTTTCATGTGGGGTTAGACCACACCCTAGAAATATCACTCGGGTATTTATGGTGTAGCATATTGAAAAGTATCTCGATGAACTGAATGATTACGAAAGGATGCGCCGAGATGTAGTATGAACGGGCAATTAGACTACTTACAACTAATCAGAATTATTGTATAAGTGTTTTTAAAACGCATCCGTTAACTATGATATGATATAACATACAAGTAGTACACGTAATCTAGTTTATTATACCTAATATATGTTATTATATACATTTCTGACACTACAAGACGTGTAAGAGGACATATGGAATAGGTGGCATGGCAATGTAGTGGAAGTGAAGCGTGACTACTTGGCAGGTGGCCAAGTGTTATGATGATGGTGGTTTATTGGTAAAGCATGGTCCGCTAAGAATGAGCCTGATTGGTGAAGTTATTTATAACTCTTGTTTAGATGAGATCTGCATTTTTAGTTTTTGTAATTCACTAGCAAGCTGATTAACTTTCTCCAGTAGGTTCTCGAGTGCCGCCGTTTGTTGATCTGATTTTCCTTGATCGGCGATTCTGAATATATTTCATTAGTCAAAAACAAAAGGCGTGACGCTGTCATGTTAAATATGGTTGGAAAGTCTCAATTTCTAATATACAGATGGCGGTGAAACTCTCGGGTTGCTTTCAAAAAGCATAGGTGGGAATTTATAATACTCAAGCTTCAGGCTGTCATGTGCTCTGAATTGTCGTTTTTTTTTTTTAATTTTCACCTTTCTTACTTTGTTTTCATTACTGGTATTATAGTAACAGCGCGACTAGTTGTCTGGACAGATTAAATCATGTCTGGGAGGCCTTGCTATTCCCCTCCTCAGAATCACGGTTTCAAGAATCATGGGGTGTAATTCAGTCGCCTACTTATGTTGCTGGCACTATGTATGTCTCTGTTTGTGGTTATTCCGTCCCGGTTCGCGCAGGAAAAGCGATAAGTAACGGCAAGTAGTGTGCTAACCGAGCATCTTAATTCGAGGGCTCAAAGAGCTCTACAGATGAGCAGCGGAACTGATGAATAACATCTCATACTGCCCCTTGTGAGTTGTCGTAGTACACATTAGCGACAATCTAATCAGTCAGGAAGTTTAGAACTAGGAGACGGGCAGTAGGGACGGTTTTGCGTAATCGATCCGCCGCACGCGGCTGTCGCGGACCATTTGCCTCGTTATAACAGTTCTAGCGTTCTTCATACAGCTCAATCGCTATGCGATTATTACTTATAGCATGATTCTACTGTTAGTTTTTGTTTCTGTATTTCTTACTTGCCGCTGCACTCTGCTACATCCCTTCGCGCGCGACGTGGCTTTCGCCGCGCGCGACCATTTTGTTCCTACTGCTCCACACCCGTTAGAACATTCGCCATGAGTTTGCAGACATACCTAGGTACCGTGTTTGCATATACTGTGTATGCATGTTGGTGGCCATAGGTAATTACGATGATGGAAAAGGTAGCGTTATGGGCATAAAAGTTATACGTTCCTCGGCTCCCGTAAGATTTCATTTCTGCCGTCCTTATTTAGGGCATTTTCTTTGTGGCCCAAAATATCCTTGAAGCAAACTCCGTGGCTACTTCCATTAAAGTCTGTAGAAGTGTCTAGCTTCATCAAGGCTTCTGTAATTATCAAAAGTTTTTGCAACTTACCTCTTGAGAACCTGTGCAACATCGTCCCCAAGAGCCGGTTGAGATTCAATTTTATTAACACGGAACAGCAGCAACGTATTCAGAATCAGCAAACCAGCAAGTAAGCCTAAATGACCAATGTTGGTTAGTTTTGGGAGCAGGAAAAATGTTTGATCAGTAATCAACACCACTGGATTACTCTTAGTATCATTCTTCCTTTGCGATTACTGAAATAGTAAAAAGCGTTTTCTGACCATTCGCTACAATACATTACCAGACAATACACAACCAGACGAATTTGCGGAACTCATGTCTCTCATTTTATACATTCATCTAGGGATGTATGGCTCAGTTGTTTACGAACATAAAGTTGGTGGAAGCTTGTTACACCACTCTAAGTGTCCGCAAAAAATGGCAATTAATAAAAGATTCACTTACATATGATTATCCTTATGTAAAATCCGTAGTCGGGTTGTACTGCAATGACAGCCGTGGTGGTAGGTGTTTGAGCAGGTGTGTCTGAATTTTTAGAAACTATATTGTGCAGAGAATGCATATAAAGGATGGAATTGGGCAGATCGATGAGTCGGGGTGGTGGTTGCGGTGGTAGGAGGGAGAGCGAAAGGCTTATTGAATAGGTGAAGTCATCAGGACGCAGAAATTCAACAGATGGCGACAGCATGTCAAACCTCATCACTCAAGTACCCTTTAGCTTGTGAATGTCTCTATTAACTTTTTTTATTCTTGAAAGTCAACTCAATTTGTTCTCAGTTCTCGAAGGCTTAGAAACTTCTACAGAGGGGAAGCATCGTCACGGCTTACCAACAGCGTGTTATACACTCATGAAACTATTTCATGCGAAATACGAGGATTATTTTAAGGAGAACTTGAATCAGTAACACCAACAGCATGGAATTTCAATAAGAGGGTAATGTCGCTAGCCTAGTAGTCCTCTTCTGCTTGAATGCATCGGGCGCTCGACCCTTGCAAAAAGTCATGGTAGGTGTGGAACAGATGCAATGGCCAAAGAAGCCTGATAGATCAGTTCCTAAACATTTTTTTGTATTTTTTTTTGCGTCAAAGGGCGAAAATATTGGTATTTAATGGTTCCGGCAAAGGAAACAAGGAGAACAGCTGAATTCCCGACATTGAAAGTCTTATCGGAAATCATTTTTCTAGTGTTGGACGAGGTTACGACAGAGCGGAGTTTGCTTTTGGACGAATTTAGCCGGTAGCGTCAATCAACTGCCCGCATTTGCTACAAATGTGCTCCACTATGAATGATATCAGGATCCACAAAGCTATCGAACTCGTCCCTTCATGACAGTTAGCGGCTGGGCCACAAGGGCAGGTTTTGAAGCCCCACTGCTTCCTTTCTAGGCCTTGACCTGGTTCATCGACTTGACAATACTTCATGAAGGCTCCTCAAAGGCTACAAGTTCCTACCGACAGAAATGTTCAAAACGCCAACCGCCTCTATCTTCTCAAAAATGAGCTATACAAATAGGAAATAATTGTTTCCTATTTTTGTTTCTACGTGTCGCCATCGACTGAAAAAGGTTCGTTCCATAGATGTGCCCCTTATTTTGGTATTAGAATTCCCCGTTCTGTATGTGGAAGGGTCCACTAAACAATGGTAATGTGGTTTACATATCTTCGAACTGCTAATGTAGGCGCCAGATCATGAGACGAGAATTGTTGTGACTTCGGTGAGAAAAAGGAGGGGAAAAGTTAATCTTTGAGTCTCAGACATCGTCGCGAACTATGAGAAGCGTGTAAACAACTGAGAAAACACTTGAGACAAGAGAAAACTGCAATGCTGGCGTACTGAAGTCGCTCAGTCGGAGTAGAAAAATGTGCGCGTTCGTATCTTGTATCCGCAGGAACTAACTATGTTGAAGAATAGTCACAAAAGGTTCAGAAAAGTGGTTCTAGAGTTAGGAAATTTCTTCCGTCAGCTAACTAACCTCGTTTGATCGCTCGCATTCGTGGAGGAGGAGAACGCGTTGGTTGAGTCTCGGTAATTGGATCTTCTACAGATGATAAACTGAAATATTCCACGATATAGCCAATTCTGTATCTTCTAGTTTGGTGGTAAAGTTGGGTTATTATAGACGAGGATGTTATAGTGGTCAACTTGGAAGGAATCTCGACTCGGATTTACGATTTCCGTACCTCGCTATAACTTATCGACTTCGCCGCACTACGTACGCACGCGTTCGTGCAGAGTATGTGGGACAGGACGAGCTAGAGGTCGTTCTTTTTGGACCATACCTTTCTTCATCGTATCGATCGACTTCATCTCGATTCCCTTCTGGACGCATCGCTTTCCGTTGACATTCATCTCTGAGCATTTTCTCCAATGCACTGTAGTGATCATCTAAGCCTTGATAGGTACTTTTCTCGATGTAACCTGAAGTGAAACGTTGAAGACGGTTAAGCTACTCTCTGAAGCAATCATATGTAACATCAGCTTTTGTAAAAAATCTGATAGTAACGCTAGGATGTGATGAATGCGCTTGCGGCAGCTTCGCGGAAGTATTGACGTAGACTGTCTTGCTAATCGCTCATATATCAAAAGCGCTAAATTTGCGCGTGTCTACTCGATTGATCTACGGCTTAGTCGTAGGATATGCTCAACCAGATAGTGAATGGCTCACCTCGAACCACACTCCAAATATTCTTCTTATATACGATACCGCCATGGACTTTGATTCGAGCCTCGTGCTCACTGATCTTGGAGACGCAATAGACGCACTGAAAATCGTGTTAAAAAGGTGGACGTAAGATCCAGTAGTTGATGGTCCTTCAAAATATGCCTAGCTGTAAGTAGGGATTGTCAGAGCGCGGGGCCGCGTCACTATCTTGAAGTAAGTACCATGTTGTCGGAAAAGTATCTTGCTAGTCTTATAAAAATTCAAATCCACTTTTTCTTTCTCAATACAATCATTTGCAAAGGAAAACACTCAAGGGTAGATTCCAAGATGGTTGCGGTAAAACAACACTTTATCTTCCAAAGGATTGGGTAACGACAGAAATAAATTTCAGTACATTGGTGCTAAATCTGATGATTACGTGCATGGGTCCGAACCCGGCATCCTAAGCTCTGAAGTTTTTACTCGGTCTTTCTAGCAGTATACAGATTGTTATAAAAATAGATATAAACTGGTTTGCCACGTGATGTGTCAGCTCAAGTCACGCAATCAAGTTGAGCGCAGTAGGCTTTAGCCATAACAGAGTCTCGTAGTAGCAGTTCAATGATCGCTTTGCAGTCGCACCCAACACTGAGCATTTCCATTTTGGGATGGTGTTCAGATGTTGACGTCGTAATGTAACGTTCGTCGGGTCTAGGAACTTGGCACTCCCTCGAGGGTCTCACGTAGACAACTCACCACTTTCCAGTGCAAGTGATCAAGTTGTCAAGCTAGGCAAAAGCTCGCTGGAATGCTAAGAAGTTCGAGCAGGCTTCATTACTCATTCGGAGTTGGTGTCAATCAAACCATGAGGTGATGACTTTCCAAGGCGAAGGGATGGCTTGTTGTTGTGTCAATATGGCACGGTAGAGATAGTCTGCCAAACCATTTAGATTCTGTCGAGAATCCTCTTTGACCGATTTAAGGATGCGCTTTTATTCACTTCGACCGGTCGCTCAAGCCATGATTTGAAGTTTCTGGACTTCCGGAACCAAACTTTCGCTGTGTCGCAGGAGTAGATTGTCGGTATCGTCGTACCCTATGTGCTTCTTGTAGCACCGCTAGCTCTGACTTGTTTTTTGGATTCACAAAACAGAAGTGGGTCAAGTGCGGATTCTGAAGTCATAATAGCACGTAATGCTAAGACGATCTTGCCGGGCTAAGACCATTGTCCATCCCTATATAAGCTTTAGGGCGGAGGTGGTGTAGTGGCAAGTGGCGCACTATATCACACGCACGGTCAGGGGTTCGAATCCCGGATCGATGCCCGCCTAGGCCAACCAAGCCTTCCATCCCTCCGGGGTCGGTGAATTGGTACCAGGCTCGTCTGGGAGGATAAAAGCACTGACTTGTACATCGGCTGGCCACCGCAAGTCGTTGTATAGGCCACATACGCACTCATTACGCCACTACGATTCTGAATGGAAGTCGAGTGGGGGGGCGCATCCCTCAGATGGGATTGATTAACGCCAAAAACTTTATCCTTTATATAAGCTTTAGACAGAGGTTTAAAAACGATTTTCAGAAATTCCAAAACTTGCACAATTGAAAAGCGGGATTTTTCCGACAACTTAGGACTTGCTGCCATTGTTAAGAGCTGTAGAACATAACCTAGGTTCCTTTCATTTTTAACTTTCTCCGCAAAGGAAAATGCGAATTCGTAATTTCAGCGCCGCAAAGCGTCCGCACGCGAAAGTTGTATCGTCACTCTATTTGCTTTGCAATAGAAGTTGGCTCACCTGAATTGTGAAGTCATTGGCGTACGGAACACCTGAGTTCTGCGTTTCTTTATTCACAATGAAGCCGTCACCATTTCGTCCGAAGTGGGATATAATCTAGAATAGTAAGCATATAAATCGAATCTCTTTCTATTGACCTTCTCTTCCTACCTGCTTTTCTGTCACTACACAGCTTTTCGGGGCCATTGCATGGTTCAACGCCATTGTATATGTACAGGTTCGTGATCGCACACCATCTTTGTCGGTCGTCCAAGCGGATGCGATGTAGCCTAATCAACAAATAGATAAATCCCTTGCTTGATAGTAGTCAAAGTTAGGTATCAGGCATAACTACGTTGTGCAGGGAATTAGTAAAATCATGCTGTTATTCGTCGATAAGTGCATATACCTCAAAAAATCGATTCATCAGTCAATAAATCAATACTTTCTGAGGTATTCTAACGAAGGGTTATGTTAAATTTACAGTTACGCACGTCACATACATACTACTCACCTGAAACATTCTCAGACACTTTAGAATGCACTAAAATTTTAAATATTGATTTTATCGATTGCTAGTATTGGTCGAGATAACCGACCACGGGCGGTAACAGCCTGCTTACCTGAGTTTTTGAGGGCCTCATTGAATTTCTTGAACCATGGACTGTCTGTGAAGAGTAGCTCATAGATTTCGTCGACACTCAGCGGATAGACGTTGTCCAGAAGTAACTTCCCAGCATGGGAATCGCATGGACAATTAACGTCCTCCTAAGTGCGTACCATGTGGTTTGGTGGTAACCCACAGATCAATAACCGTGAAATGTTACCTGCTCCAGCGACGATTGTGAAGACGCTTCAGCTATTGAAGGAAATTCGTCAATTGGTCGTGACACACCCGGAGTCATATCAGAGGTGTTTGATTCGCTAAAATGGGAAACTTCAGTGAGACTGGCGCATGGGAGTATTTGCAGCCCAGCAGAGAGAAGCAGGCATCATTAGGGTAGCAAACGAAGTTTCCCTTGCAAATTGCTAAATTTTCTCAGACTCAAAAGACTCGCTGAGAATCCGCTAGTTACTGCTGTGTAAATTTCATGGTTGTTATCCAATGTATCAATGCCTTGGGACCATGTTAAAGCCGAAGGTAAAAGATCTGCGAAGGCGATGCGCGCGGTGGCGTTGCGGCTCGCTTAACGGATCAATATCAGGTGCAGCTTGCTACTGGTGGGTTTTCAAGATACATTCGAGGGTTCTTGCCGAATAGGTGGTAACTTACTTACTATAGAGGGAAACGACTATTTTGAAGAACATATGATTGAAATCTACTGGAAGGTTACTTGTCGGGCTAAGGTGGGACGTTAAGTTTGATCATTGGTAGACATGCTGGTCAAAGACAGCCGTGGCAATGGTTGAAACTTTTATTCAGTTAAAACCATACATTTAGATCTGAGTGAGGCGCTCTACAGGGGAAATGACGCAAAGTTTGAACGGAATAGGCAGCTGAGCGACCTTGACAAACAAACTTATGCAAATAGCAGTCACGGGTAATTCCCATGGAAGCGATTTGCATGTGACGTTCAGAGATTAGGGTAGACAATAAATCAATAGACGATGTCTTACTAACCTCGAGTTCATTGAGGAGCGATCCGTGGACACTTTGGCTGCCCGCTGTCGCCTTCCCTAAAATAAAGTCTGAGTGCTTTGCGCATAACAGGGAATCGTTGAGACGCATTCATACGAATGTGGCCAAAAGGAAGTGCACAGAAAAATGAAATGTAGAGGGAAATTCTCATCGCATTAGTAACATCAAAATGAAAGTTTCCGGAAGCCCGCAAGCCCTTGCACTGATTGAAACAATGCCTTATCGATTTTCGGGGCAGCACCTCTAATGACCTGTGGAGAATTGAAGCATGTTTCTGTGAAGATGGGAGAAGCCAACCGCTTTGACGCCTTCCTCAAACAGAAGTATGTGGCAAAACACCTTGGATATTGCCTCGTGAGGGAGGCTAGCGTTTTTAGGCTTTGCCGCGAGGGTATGAGTGCCAGTCTTCTTTTCTAAAAACTTCATTGCTTTAGAAACTACTGCAACAATGTTCAGGGAATTGTTCTCAGCTTCAATTGGAGGTCATAGAGGCATTTGAAAATTTTACAAGAACCGTATAGGAGCTGAAACATGAAGGTAGCAAGCACTCCGACGAGGTCCTTATCTAGTTGAGCACTAGCTGTAGCTGAAGACCTCTGAACTTGGCGATGAGTGGAGCTGCTTAGAAGCCCAAAGACACCGCCCACCCAGAAATGCTGCTTGGTTACTATGCTTTTTCGTTACGAGTTGCACTGCAGTCACCATAGAAACGTTGTCGGCAACAAAAAATTTTATTTTCTGATTCCCATGGTAAATGTGGGTTTTAACGCCACATAGAATCAATAAATAGGAATTTTGCATATTTCCGTTTCTTGATGAACATCATGGACAATCAACAACGAAAGCTAAAAAATTCTCGCGAGCTTGGATAGATATCTTCGGAGAATAGGTGATTAAGTTAAAAAAGGATAATATGTAACTATGTTGTCCATTGTTTGATTGGCCTCAAATTTCGGCGTTCTCCGAATATTTCACTGATGATGCATAGTTTTTCCTAGCGAACTTAGTTTTGTTTATTGCACCGAACAGGGAAAACAATGTGGGTAGGACTAAGCAACAACAAGGATCCCATCTAACAAGCTCGCCTGGCAGACCAACCACGTACGGTTCAATGCACAATATCGAGTGTTTGAAATTGGAAGATTTCGAGATCAATAACTATGTTTAGCAGACTATTTTCACTAATCTATGATCTCCGAAAAAAAAAATTCGGGATTGTTGTCGAAAAGCTCGTTGTTGATTCGCTCGGCGAGCATGTTATGTGTGATTTTTATGGTTGCTTGGTCTTATCTCCTTTGTTTTGTTCAATTCAGTGGAATCAATAGAAGGCACTGAGAGGGATTTTGCACTATCACTCAAATATTCGGAAAAAGCCAAAACCTGAAGCCAATCAACTGTAGAGCTTCCATCTGAAACCTCGAGGTAAAGAAGGGTTTTAGTAACGAGGAATATTAAGTATTAATCATATTGAACGTAAAAATAAACATAATAGAGCAAATTATTCATAAAATTACGTGGTTAACAGTCTGCTGTCGGTATCGTCGAAGCTTGTTGTGGGTGTGATAATTGTGATAAGTTACATTTAATAAGTCAATGAAAAAAAATAGATGTTAGCACTGTCCTGGCGGTGCAATGGATAAGCACAATGCTTGGAGAGTACAGATCTTGTTCCTGGCCTAGGAGGAAGCAAAACTTTTACTTCTATCCAGCGCCAGTACAAGTATAGATATTATCAAAATTAGTAGACGAATGGAAGCATATTTCAAGAGGTTATGAAGAATGACTCTGGAAAGAGGTGATCGACCTTGCAGGAACTCGACTCTCCGTAAAACCGGAGCTGCGACCGTCTGTGCACCCCGCCTATTCCCGACATTTGATTTCAGGGAGATAAGCCTTCAATCATTGTCGACTTACCGAGAAAAAATGTTTCAGGCTTCTGGATGCTTGGTTGTCAGAAAGGCTCGGGAAGCTTCAATTGTGCTAATATTCTTGGAAGCTAAAGGAAAAATCCATTGTAAACGTGTGATCGCAAAGTAGCGTAGAGTGAAGGGGAAACGTCGTCCGGTGGTACCGTTGACACAGACGGACTGAGACCGGCTGTTGCTGGAGAGCAAACATTACCGGCATTCGGATGACTGGGAGGTTCACGGGAGGGCAAGAGAAATGAGGAGGAATGAGGAAATCGCAGGCCGGTTCGAATCATTTGTGGAACCATGAGACCGTTGAAATGGGGAAGATCTAAAAAAAGACGGGAAAAAGTTGCGCTATCTGAGGATGATTGAAGGAAAGTGGAAGAAATAAGAACAAGAGCTCATTCTGGAGACGGGTGATCTTGGAAAACTTCTGTATAATTACAGCGACCGTTATCCATAGGAGTAGACTGTAGGAGGATCGGCCGTCAGACAGTACTGAACTTTCGTCCTATTAGGTTTTATAGGGAGGGCTGGTTTGTGGGGGCAGAAACAGATGATCAAATGAAAATGAAAGTAGATTAGTGATTGCTTGCGTCACAAAATAAACTTTTCAATTCGACAAAAAATAGAAGTCGATTGATCGGCTTTGTATGCAGGATGCCTCGATGATACGTCCACGCCAGAGACCTTTTCTCAGAATCGTGGAGGTGTTTGCAAGTCTATCCTACACAGTGACTCTTAACGGTCCTAAGAGCACAGTTCATGGTGAAAATGGTTTCCGAGATTTAAACTAGATGACCTGTGACCTCCAGGTATACCAGATAAGGCGCTTTCGGTTTAAAAAAGGCCTAAGTAGGGCGCAGTGAAGGCAATAGGGCTGCCTCCGACTTCTCCGTCCACACTGAGAAGTGACCGTGTTTCAATGGCTGTAATATTCTCAATAGAGCACGTATAATTAAAGTCCATGCTACTGGTATCGTCCCCGTGCCTGATTTTGTTCTGTGGCATATCTTTGGCGTACGGCTGGTAGAAAAGATTAATAGCGAGTAATAGAAATTCGCAAATTGTGCAATCTATGCAATGTAATGTGCGCTTTTTATGCAGTTGCGGAGGACTGAAATCTCGTCCAAGCGTCCCTTCCATGTCATTTCCGTCATGGTAATCTCGTACAACCCTATTTTCATTACTTTAGGCCCCATATTTCTCGAGCTAAGCGGATTTACTCGTTTACTTTGCCTTTGATGCCCTAGTATGGACACTTTTCAAATTCGAAAAATCGCCGCTGTGATGACTAGAGCACTACTTGATACACCCACTTAAGCAGAATGTTGCAAGATTTGTCTGTTAATGCAGTTCCATTGGACCAGTTACGGAGAGCAGTATAGGAATCATTTGATTCGCTCGGATGAGTCTATGCCTACATACTTGCACCCACACTGCTTGAGTCTATACCTCACGAGGTTTTTGTGGGGAGTTAGGCTGCCAGAGCGTTTGTTCGACATTGAGCAAACTTCGATGCCTGAGCATCCTCAGAGAAACCTGATGTAGCCCGGAAATATGAATTTTATTCACGGGTGGAGAGAAGAGAAAAATAACTGGCTAGTTGCAGTATGATGGACCGAGTACTCAGCGCTACGACTAGATGAGTTCCACTTTTGTTGACGCTGAACATTGGACCCTTGTTCGGAATCGTTCTATCATAAATATGCCTATGATCTCAATAAGTCACTTGTGGTTGTCAGTGTGTACGTACTGACGCACTTCGACTACCTGCATCGTTTGTGCTGCTCCTCCTCTTTCCTTTTCTCCTTTCTGACAGACTGGAAAGTCTGAGATGATATGCCACAAGAATTCTTTCGACTCTTTCCAACGATGAACTAAGCGCACTTTTGATTTTTTCGGCCTACAACGAAGTGATTTTACAACATTCGCCTTCGATTTCCGTTAAAGTTCGTCGGTCTTCCCGTGTCAGGTGCAGCCTAGCTCGATCATAAAAAAGAGCTGTGAAAGAAATGTGATTGATTCATTTGAGTTGTTTAAAAAAACAGAAAACCTTCGGTAACTTTTGTTCCATGAGAAGCGGTTAGAAATGGTTGAGTGGAGTGCTACGACCAGATCGAAACAGATTGACAGTGCAGGGATCAAGGTACCCAGATAGACGTTTTGAGATGAAATGAAGCAACTAAGCGGAACACCTCAATATCTGATGAAGAGCCAGGCCCCTGGATCGAAATGGCCCTTACGGATGGCTGGAATAGGCAAAGATTGGGTTTACGGTTTCTCCAGAATAACGGTTTCGGTGCGCAAATACGATCCTCATTGGAAAAGGCGCGAATACCGAGTTAGCAAACATCGTCGTACAAGGAATGGCAGACTGTAGCACCGCCAGGATAACAATGCGTTAGCGTTAGAACCAAAGCAAGGAAAGAAACAAAATGAATTGAAAAAAGTAGAGAAATTATTCTTGGAGTGAGCCTGAAAAGGCGTGTAATTTTTGAGATTTGATAACAGTTCTATGACCTTCGGCGAGAAGAGTCCGAAGCTCCTGATCATTCAACGTGAATCGATTCTGGTTATTTGGGACTAGGCTTTAATTGACACCCAATTCAATTACTGGTTGTATGGATTTGCGGAAACCCATCTCTAATGCAAACTGTTCGGTAGACCTGAAGAATTTTTCGAATGAGGTTTCAAATTATTGATGAGGTTCCCTATCAAGTCTAAGAGATCATCCTTCATCAGAACTGAGTTTCCACAGATGAATTGAAATCCCTTCCCTGATAACTTGATTCGAAGGCAGTGAAGTGGCTGTTAGTCGGTGTTGGAGCTTGACGAGCCCCTGACACTCCTTATTAGTCTGATTGTCATTACATGGGCAACCTACCAATCGAAAGTGCACACGGCCTAGATGGTAAAGAGGTCTTCTCCATTTTCAATGGAAGAACCATATGATCACATGCACATATAATGGGCGATCAGTATGGCAATAATAGTGGCATTTAATGAGGTGCCAACAAACAGCGGTGAGGTTGGCTTGAATATTCATCATGCAAACTTGAGAAGAGTTTTGAGCATATAGCATTTCACGGGATAGAGTTCTTCAATGTCGGAGAAGTTTGACGATTCCTTCAAAAACGGCTGTATGTCTAAAGCTCTTACGCATCCATGGTGCAAGAATCGCATCTGATGAACTTGTTGAGAGAAAACCATTTCTGGTTTTCTTTTGGGTTATCCTCTCTGGTATCTAAGATTCGCGTGAAAGAGCAAGTTTATTGCTGCAAGCATCGCTGGCTTCAAACTAATCCAAAGGTGCCCTCCACTGTCCCTACTTCTTCGAGTAAGTTTCGAATGCATGGACCAAATAGTCAGATTTGGCCGCCTTGTTTTGTTGTAAGCCTTCTTATCCTCAAAAAGAAACATACGACAATCATACGCAATAAGGAAATGGAAAAAAAATAATTGATGAAAATTTACGAAAGGAAAGTATTTCTAAAAACATCCTGAGCATAATGAAGCCCATCAAGACTTCTGAAAGAAACTTCTGAAGCGGACTTGAATGCCTGAACGTCTGGGAGTATCTATTGATTGTCCGTCAGCGGCAAAGGGAGGCCATAAGTGCAAGAGCTGGGAGGATGAGCGCTAATGAGAGCGACTGCCTGCTGAGCAATGGAAACAGCAATTCCAGTCAGAATCAAGGCTTGAGCTGCGGAAAATGGGCCCTTGCTCATCCCATCTTCAGGCCCTATCTCAAAGAATTTCAAGAAAGCGATTCCCTCAGGGGTAGGGAGTTGGGAGGTTAGAATGATATCCTTAACTTTACTCTTTATTCAACTCTCTTTACTTCAACTCGATCCCAAAAATATTCCTTTATGATTGAGTGTTAATCATTTTTCCACCGAACGAGCCAACAAAGCTCTCTGCAGCGGATACTGGGACGCAAGCTTGGCCCTGATTCCAGTGCGAGGAGGAAGAGAGGCTGAGAAAGAGTATGGAGTCCGGGTTGATTTGAATTCAAACACTACAGAGTACCGGAACTGGTAATTTATGACAGAACCTTACCTTCTCTTCATCATCGCCTTTCATGTACTCCCAAAGTTCTTCAGGCGACATCAACTGAAATTGTAAATGTGCGATTTCCGATGTGTAGCGAAAAATCACTGATAATAAGTTTATCTTCGCAAAACCTACCTCTCCAAATTGTACTTTTTCCAGTACTTTAGACAGAACTGTGAGGGACTTCTCACGATTGACGAATGATGCAAAGAAATGCTTAGTCTCGTCTCTCATTTCGATCTGAATCGATGTTGGACAGTTACGTCGAGCCTATTCACATGATAGGTCCCAAATGCATGACTTATTATAGAAGGTAGGAAGATTATGATGAGTTCGATCAGAGACCCAGAGACTTCTAAACCCTTTTTGAATGCCCCAAGTTCTGCTCTACTACTGTATGATTTGATCATTCTGGTCTATTGTATTCTCCCCATACGAAGCTTTCTCTTTCATTGAGGGTAATAAGTCTCCAGCGCTACCATACGACCCAAATCGGATGAAGGGGATGAGCTTGGAGCTTGGAGCTTCCGGTTTGTGGTTTTTTGAAAGATTCAACAATTCACCTGTAAAGAGTTGGGGAAAATTAAGGCCGCCTTTTCCTTGGTGATTGCAGCCACATCGGCTATGGGCAATACCAAATTGGTTTCCCATCCAAAGATGTTCGCATAAAAACAGATATGACGTTGTGAAATGTACATCCGTCCTTGGCATAGTATTTCACGTTGATAGGCGCAGGAAAATGCTGAAAACTGCTGTATTGATTGATTCTTTGAGATAGGAGTGATCTATTTGCGTAGGTGTAGCCAAACTTTGCTTCGGAGGTATTGTTTTTGAATGATTCGGTCAGGAACCCATTTACTCTCGTGTCCTATTGAGAAAAATTCATGTATATGGCCAATCCTCATCGCAAAATGAGCAAGAAAATTATTTTTGTAATTTTCGTGTATACGGATACCAACCTACTGTACAAGGGTGAAAACTTCGATCTCGACCACATAAACTCACATGCAAGAAACTCGTCGGGTTCTGGTCCGACTTTTGATCCAAAGAGCCGGCGATATTGCCCAGCTCGCTCGTGATAGGATGGATGAATCAGTTTTTTGATGATGTTTTTGTTTGTCCTTTCCGAAAAATATTTCTTCTTTCGTACCGATGCTCGGGATGGTGTTGTTACGTTTTCACTGAAAAAGGAAAAGTTGTTCTACATAGATTATGCAGAGAAGGGAAAACCATCCAATCAGATCTACTTTTACAGAACATGGTCATTGCATGGCTGATTCTACGGCACTCCACGCTTTGCATGCTTGTTCTGTACTCATTATACTGAACTACAGCTATAAGGCAATTTCTGGCGAAATCCCCCTAGGAAAGCAGTTGATGTCCTCGTTAAGTCGCCCCCTCATGTGCGATCGCGACACGTTTTGCGGGGCAAACAATTTTTCAAGCTTTCGAGTTTAAACGAAAAAAAAAACTTGAACTGAACGAACTTTTTCTTTTCACTGGATGAGTTGCTCGACACACTGCCTGGTGGACTTTCGGGCGGATAGTCAGGACTGTCGAGCCGATCATGGAAAAGGTGATCTGATGAGATAGTCCTGAAAGGAATGGCCATCAATTATGATGATCTGCCATTAAGTGGAAGATTTTCTTGTGGTATTTATATGGGCTCATGGACGTTTCGAAAGCCGATTATAATGGTGAACAGTATCATTCGTAGACTGTTCAATGGTCGCACTTCCCGAGCTGATTAGGGGTTGCCGCCGTCCGGGTCTTTTTTATCAGTGATAAACAAGTAGCCACAAATAGCTTGCAAAGTTTTCGGTCGAAAAAATGATGGGATATTTTATGTCTCGCCGGTCACTGACATACCGGCACGGTTATGGGCATTGCTCCAGCAGGTGACGGTTAACGTTGGCACTTGCTTTTTTCATTTTCTTTATCGAATCGAATATATGCCACGCGAAGAATGTGACCGCTGCACACTTTCGGAGAATAGTGCTATCAGATGGAAATGAAATATGGATAAGATCAGCAGTCGTCTTGAAGGCGAATCTGTCATTCAAGGGCAGTACCTTTCCTGATAACACTGATAACTTAAGAAGAAACGTAATGATCAATCGAACTTTCGCATTTTCTTGTCGACTATTTGTTCCTCGTCATCGGATCGAGATCGGATACCATGCAGATGCCGTGGACGTCTCACGTTCACTTCCTCATCCATGCCCTGATTTTCATGAGCTAAGGGTACGGTAGAGGATCGGTGAGAAATATGCACGATAGAAACGACAATTCGATTGTTGAGATACAATATGGGACAAGTTTCTAAGATTTGCTCGTTCAATCAGCCAATTGTGCTAATCTTGGACCGCTGAAGGTGCCGTTGTGGGGCGCCCACCTAAGAAGGTGCAGCAGCGCTCGCGAAGATTTTTTCTTTGCAATTTCCCTGTCCAGCCCCCTCTGCGACAGTACCCTTGCACTTGTGCAGCACTTGATTGCACAACTGGCTGAAAGTATGTGGAACCGCACTCTTCTGAAAATGTCCATTGATATTAGGACAGAGTACTCATAGGCATAGGCAAAGTACAATCATATGGTTCTCAATCATAATCATATCGACAACAAGAATAAATGACTCAGCCAGTCATCAAGACTGTTTTCCCTGTCTCAACTGAGAAATAAGTATTTGCTCCCTTAGCTGTCGGCAATGATTATCGATTGATGCATTTAGCATATTGGAGGCTGAGTTGAGTATGAATGGCAAATGCAGGTTTGTCATGAAATGCAGGTTTTGGTCTCGATGATGTATTTGGTGGGAGCGTAAAATGCGTTAGGACCCGAGTTTTCCTTTGGTCCTTTTGCAAACTTTTTCTTAAAGTTGGACAACATGATTGAAGTTAGAGTAATAGCATGAAAGTTGGTCGTTATGTAAGTAAAGAAAGGTTGTCAGTGGGAAATTGGGCTGAAGAAGCAGGAGATATGGGCAAAGTAGAGAGTTTGAGAATTGCCTCTGTAGGATCGAATGTAAGACCAGGACTGTTTATAAGGCGGAGGAAGAAGGAAAAATAGCAAAGGTACGTGTTGATGATTTGAATGCAAAGAACCGCTGATTAGAATGGTTTCAGTCATGGTGAGATTGAGATTGTTATTACTAATGACGGCGTGATCATTAGAATATTCGATTTTTCAAGAGGGAAAGATACATAGTGACATTTATATATTTGAATGATTCATTGTAGAAAAGTTAGAGTGTTCGTAACGAAGTATTTGATGCTAAACTTCCCAAATGGCTGGACTTCATGGAAGCTAATTGTACGGTTGAGTTGAGCATGGGATATTTCTGAAGGCAAAGTAACCGTATAAGGGTTAAGTGCATATATGGCTAATCGTATGGACAGCAAGTGCCTGAAAGTGATAGTCAAAATGTCTGTTTATCAGAGGTTGTGACTGTCACAGTCACCATCTATAGCTGGCTTTGTACTTTCAAAGAATATGTGATAAGACCTGCATAGCACCAATCAGACTGATTATTCAGAGGCCAGGAATCTGAGGAAAAAAGCCGCCTTCATTTCATTGCACGATTCCAAATTCTCCGAAAATCTCAGAAAAAGGTCGCTGCGACGAAATGATAAAGGTTCCCTCTGAACCAATTAAGAAGGAGAGGGAAGTGGGGAAAAATGAAATTGGGCCTCCAGGAAATCAGACTGTTTGTGAGTCGAAGACGGAAAGTTGGAAGTTCAAGTTTTCGAACTCGTTTTCCTTCTTCCACCTTACCAGAGCTTCACCTATAGAATGGCATTGCAATTTATTTAAAAGCAACTCACAGAGGTGAAGAGTTGGTCGAGGATTGATCGCTGTGATTTTTGATAGCAAATGAACGGCATTGACGTTCGATTCTTCTGCTGGATTTGTGGTTGCCGAGGAGACGTGCACTTAAACTACGCTTCAACTTCTTGAAATGGGATACGGTTTTTTCAGGAGGATTCAATTTGCGTCTCGACGCCAGCAGTGCTTTCACGCCGTCACCGACTTGTACTCGTTGCTTTGTCGTTACTGTTTCTTGACCTTCGGTTACGGTACCCAGTCTAGAATCATCTGTGTCCGCCAAGTTTGAAGATGAGTGTCGGTTGAAGAACGACACGACACCATCAGGGTTCCTTGACAAGCGGGCCGCGTTTGATGGTTTGAAGCTGACACTGCGGTGAAGAGCAGTTGAGCTGATGCGGTCGCCTTCTATGCAGCCATTGAGAAGCGCTGCTGAAGACGAGGATTTCGCCAGACGTGGCATTCAGCCGATGGAGGTGATGGGGTGATGCGTGGGAGAACCTCGATCACGGTTCCTCGACGAGATTTTCTTGAGTGATCAGACATGCCAGGAAAACGCCTGGCGTTCGCAGGCGCATTAGACACCCGTGAAGAACATTTCGCACGCCAATTCCAACTCATGTCTTAGCAACGGCGCGCAGAGCAAGTCTCGAGAAATCGAGATCATTGCCTGTTTTCGAGGAACATCAGAAACGACTTCACCGAGAAGATATGTGCCACCTCGGCGAACGTAGTGTTTCTGAATTCTCTCCAAAACTCTATTGTTATCTCAGGAGTGTAGGCGTTCATGATGGCAACAACTTCTTGCTGTGGAATTGAGCAGTCGCCGACGGCGCTACATTGACCATTGCGGTGCTCAATAGTAATCAAAACCGCTCAATACACGATCGGAGTCGCACCTAACTTGAAGGAATACAATATCGTTTTTGTAATAACGCAGTGCGCTCGGATCTAGAAGTGTTCTGCAGTAGGTGACTGGAGCTCCGTTGTGGGGTAGTCACTCCTGTATTGCAATTAGGCTTATGGTAACTCCGCAAAACTAGACCAATATAAAAAAAGACGGCCAAACGTTTGCTGTTTCGGTGGGAACTGAGCGAGTAAAGAGCGTCTGAGACCTTGGATTGTACTGTGATGTAGCAGATTGTAGTCATAAGCGGTTCACAACTGCGAACAGAAGAATTTGCAATTAATGATATGATAAGAAGGGCTCATATATCTAAAGAAGGTCCCATAAATCTTAAGACTCCAAAGTGCGAAAATAACTCTCAAAAAAGTTGCAATAATACCATAAATCTTCTGGGAGAACAAGAATAACATAATGGCAAAAGGAACGAGGAAAACGTCATCTGTAGGAGAACAGGTGGTCCTATGGAGAATGAAAGCCATGAGGCAGATAGGCCAGTTACTCATGGAGTAGTATTTTTTTTTTGAAAACGACACATGCCCTTGACTCTTCAATATTTGAGGTGGGACAGGAACGAATACATGGTCATAGACGAGAAGTGATGCAGTGAAGATCAACAGCTGCGGACCATGAATGCATCCTACGATGCTAGAAGATACATTGTTGGAAGCCCTTCTGGTCTCTGAAGAAACAGAAGAGGAAGGCAAATGAATGCGAAGTGCCATGAGTAAAAATGGAAGAGATTCTACAGAGACAAATCTCTTTGTGCTTGCATCCTTAGAATCTCGTCAGCAAAATTTTTGAGAAAGAAAGCCGGAGATGAAAGGCTTTTCAATAGCATCAAGTCCTTGGACTGAAATGGGTTGTGACAAGTGGAAAAGAGATGAGTAAAAAAGATCGCCCTTCGTTCGTACCATTAGTAGCGGAACGAAATTTTTCTATAAAAGGCCTTCTCATTTTTAGCATCTATTAAACCACCTTTTCTATTCACGAACTTCGTACTTTAAATTAAGCTCGATAACACAAAGTTCCTAAGCGTTTCTGTGGCCGACAACTTGTGCCCGGATTACAATGACTTTGACACTTGGGTAGGAGGGGGTACCAATATACAAGTCTGCTGCCTCGTCCATTCGACACGAATCTGGAAGCTTGGTTAGTCTACACTGTTTCGAATCCGCAGTGTGCAGCTCGGCGCTGCCCACTACCTGCATCCTTGCGATAGTAGCAATGATGGCTGTGGTCGTACCACTCGTAAGAATAAAACTATTCGAATGAATCTGCGCCCACCAACAGATGCGCCTTTTCTTGTCGGGTAAACACCGAAGAAGTTTCTTGAAATAAATCAGCACACCGTTAGAACGACCATGCCATATTAGGTGGTGGGAACTTGGGAATGCTACTCATTGCTTTGGCAGCACACACAGAAGCAAGCAAAAGTGTTAACACGATCATGTTAGTCCACAGCCGTAGCTGTTTTTCACTCTTTTTATCAGCAACAGTCATTGCTCGAGAAATGAAAAACAAAGGCAGCTCCCAACTTCCGTCATGGAAACAATTCGATGGGTATTACTCTCGGACAGAAACTCGAGGGTTATAGTCGATTATTATGCTCACCTTGGCAGAAGGAACGATGCTCGATGAAAACGAATTCGGAGTTTTCTCGTTGGTAGGAATCTACGTCTTCTGAAGGGTCTATTGGTCATTTGTAAGTAAAAGAGCCGTCCAGCATAGGGGTAGCTGGGACATAAGAGCCGGTCCTAACGCCCATTTACTAAAATAAGGTGTGTTTACCGGCTCTGTGGGGGGGGGATGACGTCATTCAGGCATCCCACGTTTGCTGTCAACTGCTTTGCAGTGATTGAAATCTCGAACAAACACTTCTCAGTGATCATAATCTCGTCTATTTTTAGAGTTTGTCAGTTTAAGAATAAAGCCCAATACTAAGTGATTTTCGCAGGTTTTCCCTTTCTCTTCGCTATTCCCCATTCAAATATTGCCCTCTAGTGTGTCTTAAACCCCAGACGGGGTCTAAACGGGCAGGAATTCCTAGATAAATAATTAAACAGACCTGAACACAATGTAGTCGTCAGTAGCGCAGCGCAGGTAGCATGGCATACGATATCAACAGAATGACTCAACCGTTGCGGCTGTGAGCATTGAGGTGTTAAGCCGATTTACAGAGGGACGGGCAGAGGAAATGAGGCAGTGGTGGTTCAAAAACGAGAAACTAACGGCACTGACTGTGAATCAGAAAACTAGTCATTTGAATGAAAAGGCTAAGATATGCAGACGTCAGCTTGTATAACGATGTTCAGTGATGATATTGCCGAGACCAGGAGAGTTGTGTTTCGAGATGATATATGTAGTTTTTCAATCATTCTTGGACGAGTTTTCAAGAGTGGGCCCGTGAACCAGTTGGTAAAGCAGCATTCGCGAGCACGAACATAATGACTCTGAAGATATGTGGAAAGCTGATAAAATTCAAATAAAAAGCGGTCCAATGAGGATGATGTTCGATCTACCGGTTTTTGAAGGTGTCGTGAAAACTCAACGACGGCTCGTATTTGGTCGCTTGTGGAGGATGAAAAGACGGAAGTTGCAAGAGACTTTTATGGGGTGAGTAGAGATATTTTTGCGCTCACTCCAGATGAGCAAGTTTGAAATACTGGATATGCAAGGAGCGTGTGAAGGAAAGCCCTTCAAATTGAAGTAGAATCGAAATAGGGAATTGAGAACTTGTTGACAAGCGACAGCCACAATGTTTACCTCAAAATGATAATTGAATAAAGTGTTTAGCCATGCGAAGTAATCAACTTCATATTGTCCGTTGTGTTACGAAAAGGGTAACAGGCTCGACAAGGTGCGCTGATTGAATCACCTTCACTGGGTCACAAGGATAAAAAATGTCGACGCAGTGAGTAAAGATGATAGTGTTCATCTTTGAGAGCAAAACGTGGAAATTCGCAGAAATTCTCGAATATACGCCGTTTCTTCAATCGCTCTCAGTTGCCTGTCAGTCATTTACGTACATCAGCTGAGTGCATTTATAATAACCATGCTTCACTGAAAATGATATCAGTTTCTGCGAGGACGGTAAGCACGTCCCTTTTGGGGAATACTAAACGGTAAAGAGCGTACTAACGCCTTCTGAGCCCTGGTTCCGCTTTCTTAAATTGTTCCTCCACATGACAATACCCAATGTAACCTTCTCAGGAGCAGTAGACTACAGGGAAGTATCTGATGTCTGCCAATGCATCGAAGGATTACTGGTCATCCAACAGAAATTCCAAATGGTTAGATGTATTAACCTGGAAAATGCAGCGTTACCATAAAGTTGAATTTTGGTTGAAGGCTATGAGAGGAGTAGAGCCAAGTATGTTGAGATGAATTGGATAAAACACTTTAGTTGTACAAGAGTTCGAAAAAGTGTACGGATGTGGGCAGAGGTTCTGGGCGCAATGCTGAGTGTACAGAGGCAACTGCCTAACCATGCGACTGCGAAGACCTACAGTCTGTCGCTTTTCAACGACATTGATAAGATAACTAACTAACCATTGCATAACAGCTCCGCCAAATATGCAGTATAGGAATCATATGCATCAAAAGTTTTCTTAAAATTTAAATTACAAAGAACTTTCCCAGATCTGGATACCCAATGATTCTTGAGAAATCTCGTTTTTTGATCACAATCATTTGCGAGAGGAACCCTTTTCAAGCAATAGTTTGCTCAGATTTGCTCAGAAATGTTTGATGCTTGAGAGGGTCTGAAACCATGTGATAAGACAACGAAAAATGCGTGAATGTTGGCTGAAAGCAGCAGGAGCTTCAAATTTCTGCAGCATGTCATTAAATCGTTATGGTAATTATGTGAATACAAAGCAGCGGCTGTAAGATTGTCGGAACACAGACACCGAAAGTAGCCAAAAAACGAGAGCCGCTTCGAGTTTTCTTTCGAAATTTGTTTGGCATGACTTTTATAGATGCAATGAAGAAGGAATTTCAGACCGCTCAGTATCCACTTGTACTAACAGGGAGGTACCTAAGAAACTTTTTGGGTGCCTAACTTTTACTGCGAGAGGAATGAGAGCAGTACTCCGGCGTTTATGTTATCGGTTATCACCTCATTTCCGTGGTGTTTGGAAAGTTTTGGATGGTGCTGCGTTCGGTGCACTCCACTGCTCTGCACTGAGGGTCAAGCAAACTTCTAGAAACCCCTGACAGGGAAGTCGTATTCGCTTCGCCTGAGGGTGAAAGACGGTGAATTAATTTCACCCCCTCTCCCTCTGTCGTCTCCCTTCAACCAAAACAATTAGAAAACGAGTAAGTATGCATTCACATGGGTTGCGTTGAAAACAACTTCAGGGAAGAGTGAACGGTTTAGGTCCGCACAGACTTCGTTTTGGAGGAGGTTTGTACCAGTGAGCCATTTTCCTCAATGTCACGCTTGACTCTGTTTGCACACCACCTTCAATGAATATTCAATCACCATGCCATTTTCAGTACAGTCTCGGCCATAGGCCAATGCGAGTCTAGCCATTATTGGAAATCGATAAACTAATCATTATCATCCTAATGGACGTCTTCAAGTCTGTTGGGATGGTACACAGGTTTTTAGCGAAAAAAAGAAAGTGGTTCTTGAGCTAATTTTGGTTGAGGATGGATATTCAAATTGATTTTACTGTTTTTTCTTTGTTCTTTTACAGGAAAAGCATTTTGCTCTTTCGGTTGCCGACTGGATGGTTCATACTCTGTCAACTTACAGTAGTGGCTTTGGCGCACAGGCACAGAATCCACTTTGATATCCCCTGTGCTCATCCTACATAGGTGGGTTGACGCTCACGTCTCCTACTCTTGCTCCAACATAGTCTCTGTTCATTCAGCCAAGTTTCTCCCTATATCTGACCTGTTTTAGGACTGACCTATTGTATGACTCACAAGAATAGCGAGTTATGGGGAACAGACGGGATTTGAACCTGCAGTTGCGTTTTTTGGGTCTCGTGCTTTTTGCACCGTACATTATCTAAACCCCGCTTGCTCTCGCATTCCTAATGGCTTTTTAGCTTTAGCCTTATCAACCCTTCGGAGAATAACGTGATGGTCAGTCGATATTGCGCAATATATGTATGTGAGCGCTGATAAGCTTCAACTAAGTACCCATTAAAAGTGTGAGGGCCAACGGGTTCTTAGTAGTGGAGAGGCTAAAAAGCATAGATTCGAAGAACATCAGGACCGGTTCTTATCCAGCAGGAGACCAAGGATTTCGGTACTACTCACTTTTCGCGTACCAGGGCAAAAAACAGTAGTTAATAACAGAAAACATAATCTCAAAGCAGAGTTATGAATTTTGCTGATAACTCCCCCCCCCCCCCCCCATATGTCGAATTTTGCTCGGACAGCATCCAATGGTTGCCTATTAACCGCAGCTACACGGTAGGAAGCCAGATCTTTAGTATAAACTCAACAACTTATTTTGAATCAGAGTTATTATTGTTGTCAGGCATATTGAGTGTTAACACCCTAACGTTCCCATTTATTGGTATTAGTCAGGGATTAACATCGTTTGGGAAGTGGGCCTATTACGTCAACAATGCCAAAAAATGATCCACATCCACAGGTTTTTAAAACAGACTTACTTGAATGACTTGTCGTCCGATGACGCCACGGATGGCAAATCTTCAGTTGATCCAGCTACTGTGAATCGATTTCGTCTAAATATATAGGATAATACAGCAATGATGAGTAATCTATTAAACGAAGAGGAGAAATGTGAAGAGCCTGATGGGACAATGAATGGAAGCAGATTTTCTCTAACAATAAATTCAGGGTACTTCAACTGTAATAGACGTGAAAGCAGCACGCTTTTAGCATGAGCTGGGATCCTAGAAGGTGTGAAAAATGAGGGTTGTACGAGATTAACTTTGCGGAAATGGTATGGGAGGAATATTTGGACGAAATTTCTGTCTAGTCGGCTGCCTGAAGAGCTGGCTACAATTAGCCCCAGATTGCCTTCCACTGTCGTCATGAGTCACGACCAGCATGTGCTCTATTGTGAATGGAGCAGCATCTACAGTGCCATTGAAACACGTTCGACCTTCGTGAGGACATCGACGACGAGGATATTGAGCCCTCATTGCGCCCTACCAAGGCCGTTTTTTTGACCAAACAGCGCCCCACATGGCATACCTGAGGACTGCAGGTTCGCCCTAGTTGAAAATCTCGGAATTCATTTTTCTATGAACTGCGCCTTTAGGAGCTCATCTCATCCATAATTCCCAGTTATTGGCCCCATAGGATCCTCATGTGGATAGGCCTAATAAATCGCTATCTTGATAATAATACAAACTTCTGCTTTCCCAGTATTACCAAGCCGTATATGTGCCTTTTGGGTCTTTTGTGGTTATCATGATTTCTGTGAAGGACCTGGCGGTTCTCTCGATTTTACTTGAAAAATGCCTGATGCGCTCCTATTCGATCTACCCTGCCGAACTATGACAGTTCTGACCTTGAAGTAATCTACTGTTTTTATGAACAGAACATCTCCCCGGAAAATCCATGACACCATGGGTATGAAGATCGGTCACCGAAAACAGCTTAATCTCCACTCTGACCTGTTTTTCATTGTGGTGAACCAGTTACGTAGTGATAGCCGCGATTTAGTTGGAGTGAGCTGTGGAGTGAGCTGTGGTGATGGCAAGATCTGAAACGGGGTAATTTAGTCGAAAATGTAAATCTATTCTGGGTAAATGACTTAGCTCAGTTTCTTTTCCATTAGTTATCAGAAAAAAAAGAATTGATAACTAAACAGTGCAAATAATAGTTAGAAAATTCAATGTATGAGAGATAAAACTGTGTTGGAATATGCACTGACTGATTTGTGCTTTGATATGATATTTTTCAAGATCTAGCGAATCAAAGTATTACTTTTAGAAATTATTTCCACCAATCTTACCAAATTTCCATTCGGGTCGAGTAGTTTTATGGTATCATCAAAAGATATTGAACGAGGAAGTTTCCTGAATGAAAGTTATTGGCAAAGTGGTACTTCTTCTTAGGGACTCTTGTCGGATACTTGTCATAAATGAATTTCTAGGAATGACTCTCGATAGTTCTGGTTCTGGTTGTTGAGCTGTGATTCTTTTGCTGAGGACTTTGCTTTTGTCAGGGATAATATAGAGAATGAATATTGATGGATACAAAGAGAATGGAAGCACAAAAATATTTGGGGACCTTTTGGTTAAACGAAACTATGAAAATTAAATGCCGCTCCTCTTCCAAAGTGTTCCTTACAGAATGCATTGTTCGGTGGGGAGAGGAGGGTCAGCTTTGCGATGATCAGTAATACCCACTCAGGGATGAATTCTGAACCACATCGTTCCATTTTTACTTGGAACTGTGGGGTACAGCCAGTTCGTACGTCGCCTGACGGCCCTCTGCAACGTTTTGAGTAGGAAAAGTTGTTCTTTGAAAGTGCCTGAAAGCAGGGTAACTGAACTCGGAAAAAGGCTATCACTTGACGTACTGGCCAGCACTGGGCAATGCTAACAACTTCCGATCACCACAAAGCTATTGAGTTTTGTTATTTTGCCGAAGTGAACGGCGAAATCGGAATAGTTTTACGATTTTGTTTTTCAACTAGAAGACGAAGAATCCAACTGGTAATGAGTTACGAGTTTGAACTGTTCCCCCATTGCTCGCTAAAGAAGGTCAAGGTGATCTCGGAAAACTTTTTCAATACATTCTTTATTGATGGCCTAGCACAGTGGTAAGCATTTTGATCGGAGACTCGGGAAAAAGGTTCTGGTCTCAAAGGCATGCGATCTCACCTGCGATTAGTGTCGATAAATGTGAGCATTGTAAGCCTGCACTGGAACCAGTTTGATGATGTTCTGAAATCAGCGAAATGCCAATCTAGTCAATCTAGATGTCTTCAAAACTCGGCAATTAAATGGATTCCTGTAGAGATACAACAACGTGATGTAGAAGTGCTGTTAAGTACTGGGACATCAAAGTCAAATCTTTAAGAAAAGGACAATTAATTTTGTTCTTTTGATATGCAGAGAAGGCAGAGCTCTGAGAATATCACGGAGTTCATCTGGGAATCGGACTGGACAACAACTTAGTACAAGATATACAGATATACAGATATACGAATCATTGCACTGACTAAATAAAAAGGTAGAGGATGAAGTCCCTGGCGCTAGGCGTTCGTTTGGCCGTTTTTGGGTGAGCTCACTTACTGAAATTTGCTTGATCTATTTCAGTAGGAATTAGGATCGTTTCTCGAGATCTGGGTCATTTTCCAAATAGAAGTCTGAAAATTCTTTCATTTTTTTCCTACGAAGCGATGAATTTGACTTACGTTCACAGTTGAAATAGATTTTGATTCAATTTCGGTCTCGGCCACTTCTCGTTGCTTAGGCCAATTGACAATTTGGTTTTTTTGGTTTTCTCAAATAATAGTGCTGTACTTCACCATGAATGTCTCATTTGATCTGTCAAGGTCTGAAGCCGGGATTTGCCAGATAAAGATACTCTTTCCCTTAGGTGAGAAAAAGGAGCAAAAGTAGTGGGATGCCTAAGCGGAACACTTTGCGCAAGTGGAAGTGTGCTGCTAACACAACGGCGATGGTGAGCGATGATAGTATGGTCCCGTTTTTGATAGCACAATAATGTTCCGGTTTTTAGGTAGGTGAAACCAAGTAGCTTTTTGTTCAAGCAATGAAGTAAGATCATTACGACAGATAGCCCAAAGATAGAATTACTAGTCGGGGTCTTGTTTCCGGTCGAGAGTGTGATATGATCGGCATGGTTGTGTGGAGTGCAAACAACTCGCTAATTGGGTGCCTAAAAGGCAGCTGGTGATGAATAAGGGGCCCGTCGAGTTTGAAGAGGGCAGAAGGGGAAGCTTTTAGTAACAGCTTTGAAAGCTCACTCAGAAGCTTTCGCCCTGTAATTAATTGGATTCTATAGCGCTCCTTTCTACCCAACTACTTCCTACCGATAATCTTTCATGAAGTATAATGAAGCGACCGCCACGACTCTGAATTGGAGTCAAATAAGAAAGACATTCAGAAAAAGCTCCTATCCCAGCGGCGAGTTGATCGATATACATGCTTGCTTCTAGAAGAAAAACTGGGCTATCAAGTGGTATCTAATTGAACTTGGAGCAAGATATAGATAGCAAGAATGAGCTGGGCTTCAGCCAAATCGAAGGCATTCCGCAAGTGTTGCTTTTTCCATTCGCGTTTTAATTGCAACGCAAACATTCTTTTCAGCGATTTCTTTGTAAGCACTTTTCTCAAATCGGGAAATTGCAAATGGTTCCATGAAACGAGAAAATTGACGTGACGCCGGGAGGGATAGACCTGGACTTTATAGCATTGAACTGGGATAGTATAGATAATTTAGAATGCACCATTGCCTATAAGAAAGTCACGGTCTCTATCGTTCGTAACTTTTCCCGTGTGATTCATCTCTTGATCATTCTCCCATTTCCTGAGCTGTCATAACGCTCCGATAACTACTCAATGGCTCTCATTCTCCCACTTCTAAACACTACAGTTGTAGACGTTCGACAATGGGGTAGAGGCAGTTGACGCCTCTACACCGTGTACGACCCTTTAAGAAATCGAGTCAACCTTCACCAGACGGTGGAGTGGGCTGGCATATGGGAACCGGAGGATCCCTTGGGCTATCGGAAAAATTCTTGAAGACCAGACTGATATGTTGAGCTCGAGAGAAAAGTTTATCTAAAAAGAACCTGTTCCATGAGATGACTGTAACTTCCTTTTGGAAGTTTTAAGAACGCGTGGCGTCACCACATGAAAAATGAAGAGATAGAAACTAGTTCTGCCGAACTTCACAAAGTAACCCTTGCAAGAACTGTTGCGGTAAGGAATATTAGGAACTGTTTCGAAACTTCGAATACGCTTCAATCAAACAATCCAATCCGCATTTACACTTTAAACACTTAATAATGCAGTTGATTTTGATAAAAAGCAGCAGGCAGCCTTTTATCTCAGAAAATCATAATTTTGTTCAAATCATTCAGAAAATGTATAAGATCTAAATTATGAAATGAAATCCAGTGGTCAATGCAATGTGGACGACTCAGGAGGCTAACAGGGCGTTATCTCCGTAGAGATCAAACCAAGATGGCAATCGTTACCGGCTAAGGCATCTACGTTCGGTAATCGCTGGTAGGAAGGAGCAGCGCCTGGCGAAGGGACAGAGGATGGACTGTGGATTTGTACCGCCCACAAGTTTACAGTAGTCTGAGTTTCAGTAACTACGAGACATCGGGGACATTAGAATATTAACTGCTGGCCTACTGCTGTCAATCTGGTTTCCAACACGCACCAAATCTCTGAACAGTCATTCGCAATTCACAGTAAGCAGTAACCATCTGGCTATCGCAGAAACTTGGGAATACTCTGAAAGGTCCCTCGGTGCAACCAAGATAGAGATATCTGTGGATACGCCTGCCTTAGCTAAGCAGGTGTTGGAGAAGTTTCAAGAAGAGCGTGGACTCTGTTATCTAGTCTATCTACGCTCGTAGAGGGTCTCCAGCCACCAACAGGACCAGTTCCTTAGTGAGCACAATGTTCCAGAACACTTGATCTCTCTGGTCAAAGATATTTGCAGTAGTAGGTCCAACACGGTCATGCGCATTTCTCACGGCTTAACAGAAGCAACAAACGCCACGGATGGTGCACACCAAAAAGCAGCTCTCAGCTTCCTCTTTCGGCTATAAACGATTGTCATCACAAAAGAACTCCTCAATGGTCTTTGTTGATCGACATTGACGACATCGCTGTGACAGAAGAGAGAAGATATGAAGTTCAGAACGAGCTGCAGGAATGGCAAAACGTGCTGACGGAGAGTGGACTCCGGCTGGATAGGAGGAAAAACAAAATTCTCAGCTCTAAGTAGTCTGCAGAGCCAATTCTGGGTTCCTTGTAGATGTATCAAAAGAGATCAAGATTGACACTACCTGTGAAGTGATCTGGCAGACGACGATAGCATGGATCAGGTCGCGGAGACCTGAATGCTACATGGGTATCCTTCGTGACCGACGCTGAGGCCCACGATGCTCTAAGGCAGCGAAGATGAGCTTCAGTCAAGATTTATGAGAGGCAACTTCATTGCATTTCCTTCACTGAAGAAAAGATAATGTGATGGGTCGGGGGTAGGGCGCGACTGAACGAGGTTGGAAGCGAAGCCATCAAGACGGCCATGCAAATAGCCTTGGCCCAAGAAATCACTACAAGGAATCGAGTAATGAGGAATCACTTCAGAGTAGGTGGGGGAGATGGGAACCAGAAGGACCTCGACGAAGTCAAAATGACAGCGGAAGATAAGACGAAGAGGGGTAGAAGAAGAATGGTAGCCTTCCTGACTGAGGCATAACTGTGATTTCGATCGCTTCCGACTGCTCCCCTTTGCAATTTTAGAAATCATGGATTAGAAAGAACTGATATTTGCTGTTGATATGATGGTAGAGGCTATCATAACATGTACAAAGGACAAAATCTCGAGTACCTCGAAAGGCTTTCAGTTTTCAACCGCTGTGACTCTGTTGAGGAGTAAATCAAAATTGACATGAATCTCCTAGATTTCCTGAATTTGAGCAATCAGAGGACTGAAAGGAAGGGGTTCGAATTCCGAACGCAACCAACCCGAGATGTGAGTGGCGTCCCTGTTTCTCATTTGATGGAACTGGGGTTCTTCTTGACGTTTTTGGGATCGGAATGCAACGCTTGCCGATTTCTCAACCATAAGTAATACCTGCAGTTGGCAACTTTTTGCTACACCTCCTTAGCACGTTCTGCTCTACAGTCAGGCTAGACAAATAATTCATCGTAGTTGTTGTGTTCCTCGTAATTGTATCACCGATTACTGCTCTGTGTAATGAATGGGTCAAATTTTAAAATGGATCAGCAGGTTCACATTCTTGCTCAAATTTACTGCGGAGCAAAGTAAATATAAGAGCAGTTCTGGCGGAGGAAATGATTCACATACACTGTCAACTGCGAATTGCATCACGTAGAATGAGCGATGAGATTGGGCGAATTTTTCTTTTCTGGTGTTACGGAGCACTATACATAACTGTGTCAACAGTGTAACAGCAAAAATCAGCCAGGAATTCAAAACCATGTTGAAATCAACGAGCTGATCTGTTGCCTTACAAATTTTCGTAGTTCTAGACCCGGTTTGCTTGATAGGGTTAAATATATAGATAGGTACCCGATTGGAACGGTTGTGATCCGTAGGTTCTACCACTGCTGACGCTCGTCTACTCTTTTTTATCAAATTAAAGGCACGGTTCGCGATCAATTTGCGGTAGTGCTGTCTATGACCTGAAAAAGAACTTTGGCTCTTCGTTGGTCGATATTCGTCGATGTTACGGTGATATACGACATGTTACCGTAAAAACCTCGAATTCGCGAACCCAGCCCGTCAGTTGAGCGAAGTTGGCGATCTTTGAAATTTTATCCTGACTTCGTCGTCAGCCGTCATATGCGGGCTGTTAAAGGAAAAACCACCCTGCACCGAACCTACCCAATCTGCATCTAATCTGATTCGAGGGGTTGGGAAAATAACGGCTGGGGCCATAGTCACTTTTGGAAAAAGATTTATAGATTGCATGTTCTAGGGTCAGCTTGTGTGAAATCAGGGTTCTGGATTCCGAAAGAAAGATATCATCCCAGGTTTAGCCTCATTTCAAGCCAAGATCTTTATGCGTAGCCAAACTGCGATGCATCCAATCCTAGTAGACATGGATATTTTCTAGGTTTCCTGCGAAACTTGTGCCCTTTGTATGGATGATGAAGGAAGATGAATTACTGCACG